GTTCATATTTTTATTTACTCTTATTTATTTTATTTTTGCTTATGATAAATTCTGATCTAAGTAAAGAAAAGAAAAAATTAACATTTATAATTTATCGAAAAGTATTTATGTATTATCTGTAAGTAAAAGCACTTATCCGTAATTATTCTTAATTTATTTTTTAATGATTAATGGTGTATGCCTTTCATATAAATAAAAAATTTATTCTACTTAGATATAAATTTAAAAAGAAGAAAAATATAGATAAATTAAAATGCTTATATAAGTCGTATTTTACTCTTGTACTAAGATATTATTTTCTTTTTCTTCACTAACACTCGATATTCTTAAAATTAAAATAAATAAGTAAACAATGATTAAAATAAATTTATAAATTTTTGAAAAAAAAAACGATGAAATGATCTTTTAATTAGTAATTAAGATTATCACCGCAGCGGGGCGCTATAATTATTTGGTCAGAAAGCGTTGTAATTTTACTATATCGTTTTTAACATTCTCTAGCATTAGAGTGGAAACTCTTTACATGCTTTTTTGGGTTTTAATCATGACTTAGTTTCAAAAAATTAAAAAAAAGGTCAAATACCTTATTTTTTTTAAAAACTGAAAATGCAATCATGTATTAAGTAAATTAATTTAAAATTAAAATTTTAATTTTTTATTTAATTGCTGATGATTCTAAATTATTTTGTTTTTGTGTTTTTTTCCTTGTCTTTAGAAAAACTTGAAAAACGTCTTCGACGAGGCTATTTTGGCTGCTCTGATGCCACCCAAAAAAAAGAAAAGAGGCAGTAAACATGGAAAATGTGTATTGTTTTAGTTTTAACTCAATCAGAAATATTATTTTGATATTATAAACTATGATATATAAATATATATATGTATATTTTGAAACAATTTTAAATGTATTTAACCATATATCCAGAATGTAAGTAATATTTAGAGATTTATTTTTTGAAATAAATTTTTCTTCTAAATTATTATGCATTTATATGATGATTACACATTATTATAAATAGCATAATAATTTATAATAATATAATAATTTATAAATTGTATTAGTGGGGAAACAATTTACATTGTATTTATCTTTATATATTTTTTTAATTACAAATTGCACTTTTACATAATAATTCTGAAATTAATTTGTTTAAATCTATTTTGAATGTTAAGAATCATGTATGAATAAAATAATTATACATTATTATGATAATTTATTTATTATATTAGTGAAGCAAATTAAAAAGAACTCATCAATGAATATTTTATGCTTACAAACTACTCTTAAGTAACAATCATTTAGAAATTTATTTCTTAAATCCATTTTGCTTCTAAATTATCGTGTAGCATGATAATTACAAACTAGTGGGCTGCGCCCCTTGCTCGCTAACGCTCGCCAACCCCGAAAATTGCTACGCAATCTTATATGGTTTGCTTCGCAAATCAAATTTTTTAAAAATGTAATCATGCAAATTTTTTAAAAATGTAATCCACTTGATTACACGTGGCCAACACATGCACAAGTGCATTTGCGCATACTTATGCAACAATTTTTGAAAATATTTACAAGCATTTCTCAATGTATAAAGTAAATAATTTCGTGATACTTTACTACTGATAAAAAAACGTTATGAAAATTCGAATTTTTNTACAAATTATGCTTTTGTATAATAATTCTGAAATTAATTTGTTTAAATCTATTTTGAATGTTAAGAATCATGCATTAATAAAATAATTATATATTATTATGATAATTTATTTATTATATTAGTGAAGCAAATTAAAGTGAACTCATCAATGAATACTTTATACTTACAAACTACTCTTAAATAACAATTATTTAGAAATTTATTTCTTAAATCCCTTTTGCATCTAAATTATCGTGTAGCATGATAATTACAAACTAGTGGGCTGTGCCCCCTGCTCGTTAACGCTCGCCAACCCCCGAAAATTGCTACGCAATCTTATATGGTTTGCTTAGCTCGCTACTATCTTAGGTATACATTGCAAATGCACAAAATTCTAAGAATTCAAAACAATCATTTACAACTTTTTTTTCAAAAAAAAAAAAAAAAAAAAAATTACATCTTTTTAGTAAATACTAAGTCATTAAAATAAATTTGAATTAAAATAAATGGCATGTAATTCGTTAAACCTTTTAGAAATATGCTATAGTATAAAATCTTAAAGCGTAACATCACGACTGAGACTCATTTTTCAATGAATAACTAATAACAATAATAAAACAAATAAATTCGTGATACAAATCAAAAATCGTCAAATAAATTCGTATTATATAAATTCGTGAAAAAAAGCGCTTTCGACAAAATACTGAAATAAAGATCTATCGACAAAGACTACTCACTTCTGCCTAGCTTAATAGTATGAGATTGCCGCAGCTGATAGGCTGAATTTCGGAAGAGATCGCATTTGATGAGAATGCTCTCAATGGTTATTTCAGTTACCGTTTTTGAAAGTGCTATATGTTGAGCCACCTCAGCTAGATTTGGCATGTGACATTTTTAGCGGCAATCATTGGTCGATTTTCTAGAGTTGCCATTCGGGGAGTTGTAATGAGGCTTTTTTTGTCGCCGTGTAAGAGAAATATATATATAGATTATTATAAAAATTTTCACATTTTGTTAATAGGAATTCAACCTGAGTGCCTTTGAATTATCTCGAATGATTTTCCTTCGGTTATATAGGCATGTTGAGTGTCCCAAGCTAATTGGGACAAACTTTTCGGGGAGGTAAGGTCCATCACAAGAATTAAGAATTGCATAGCTACCCATGATGTAGGAAAATAGTTATATGACAGGTACAAGAAACAAAGACACACAAGACTGAGATAACCTTAAATATTTATTGGTCAAAGATATTACATGTGCTGTTGTAGACGATAGGTAAAAATGTCACAAAAGACGTTAAGAGTTTCCATCATTGTTGGTGATGCATGCGTTTACATAGTGTGTGTGTGGATTGGCGGATTCGCTCAAATACACCTGAATTTTGTTGCATTTCCGCTGCAGTAAAGATGATTCTTGATACCAGATTTATTACGGAAACCACAGGTGTTGCGTACACAGCACTTTTCAGTGCATCCTAAAGAAAGAAATCAGTTTAAATCAGGAGAGCGGGGTAACCAAGGAACCGGTTCACCATCTTGTGAACAACAACACCTAGCGGCGTACGAAGACGTTTCCGACCATGGATTGCTATGCAAATCTGATTCCGCTTAATGTCCCCTACCTCTCCTTAAAGTTTGTCCCTACATATTTTGTCTTCGATTGAGATGCTAATTTCAAGTTTATGTCGATTCTTTTCCTAATTATGATGAAATAATTAATGAATAAATGATTATCAACCTTTTATCGAATAATCTGTAGACCATGAAAATTTTTTAAAAGTGTAATCCACGTGATTACATGTGGCCAACACATGCACAAGTGCATATGCGCATACTTATGCAACAATTTTTGAAATTATTTACAAGCATTTCTTAATGTATAAAGTAAATAATTTCGTGATACTTTACTACGGATAAAAAAATTTTATGAAAATTCACATTTTTCAAGTGAACTTAAAAAAAAGAGAAAATAATTTCATTTTTGTCATTTCTAAAATGGAAAAACGTGAAGTTCAGGTGATGTTAAAAGTTTTTCACAAAATTATATTTACTCCTATATTTCTCGTTTTCGGTATGACAAAAACAAAATGATTGTGTCCGTCTTAACTGAGATTTTTAATGAATTGAGATTTTAAAAACTTTATCTTATTATTTTCCCTTTTCTTTTTTTTTAGATTTTTCTCTAAAGCGAGGAATGTTTTGTTAAAACGAAAAATTTAGTCTGTTTATTCTGTTATTTCTTTATATCGGAAAATTGCCAAAATCACTTTTGTTGATAAATTCTGTTTGACGAGGGGAAAAAAAGCAATAATTTTTTGTAATAATCAGAAAAAGATTGAGAATTATATTTTCATGTGCACTGTAAAAAATTCCGGATCAAGATACGGTATAACGCATTGGCCCTGAGGGTGCCGCAACTTTTTACCGGAGCAAAATATCTGATATACCGTAATTTTTACAGTATTAAATACCATAAAATTACTGTATCACACTTACGTTAAATAAATTTTACTATTAAATGCTACTATTAACTATCTATTAAATGAATATTACTCAAAAATATGCAGCATAATATTTTACGGATGATGCATCCCAAGTGCCGATACTTTATACTTGCATTTGATCCGGAAAATTTTACAGTGTGGTGCAAAGCTCTTACTGAAGTTTGAGTACTTTAGCTAGTCGGAAAATGGTCGAATTTCAAATGGCAATACATTTCATTTGACAAAAAATGTAAATTTTTTTTTTTAATTGAGGTAAAGAAATTGATATTTGTATTCATGAACTTCAACTGAAATATCAGCAATCTAACAATTACGAAAGTATTGTTAGTAATTAAAGTTAAAGTATTGTTGATATTGAAAGTATTGTCCCTATATTGATTGGCCAAACATCCTGCTTGTATATTTTGATAGGCCAAACATCCTGCTTGTATCGGCGAGTAAATTCGGGAAATTTTTATTGTTATCAGGTTCAGAGTCTTCAGTTGACATTTGAGCTCTCTAGCTAATTCGAATATAAAACTCCGATTGGTGATAAAAATGGCGATGAATTCTGCTTGAAACAGCTAGAAAGAAAGTAAAATAATAATTTATTTTTAATACAACTTTCAAAGTTAATTTTATTGAGATATAACTCTAAACTTTCAATAATATGCAAAACGTTTCAAGATTTTTTTTTTTAATGATGCTAAAATTGTAATTGCGATGTCGTAGAATTGAAGTAGTACACGCTATACTACTTCAATTCTACGACATCTGAACCTGACATTAGTAAACATTGCTACACAATGTTTACTAAAAAAATAAGCAAAAAATATGCACTTCTGGGTGTTTATAAGTTTTGTTTAAATGTTTCTTCAGATGGAAATGATTATTTCATTGCATATAAAATTTTGCAATATTGTCTGTATTATAATTTATAACATAGTATTAAATTATAGCTTTGTAATATATCAGATTATAACAGTCTTTTTTAAGAGTATTAATTACGACATTTAAAGGGTATAATTCAGTGGTAATTTCAAATAAATACTGATTAATAATGATTCAGGTATTTTGCAACTTTCCTTTTCTTTCTATCAAACTAATTTAATGGTTTACTGATAAATTCTTCAAAATTGCCCAATCTAATTATAATAATGAGTTTATAAGACACTTACAAATCCTTTTTTGAAAAAATATTCTACCTTAAAAATAATTATTCGTCTGCCTCATCATAAGAATTAACAAATGTCTCTGTTTATTTGCTGGCCCTCATATTACGTTTTCATAAAAACAACATAAAAGAGAGAAAAAAATAAATACAATTTGTTATTAATGAAATTGATTTTTGTAATTGTTATGACGTCAAATAAAGTCGAACTAATTTTGACAGTTAGCGTTCATAAACTGTGTTGTTTTCTATTGTTTACTTGGATGTTTAGCATTTTCAGTAACGGATCATTTATTGTTAATGCATGACATGATCTGGCGAGTTCGTTCAGAAAAGCGTGAAGATAGTTAAAAATATCTTAGTCGGTTTTTGCATTACAACTTTTTTTCCTCTCTCATATCAATCTTAAGTTATGTTGGAAGCACGCATTTAAATTGTGTAAACAGTTTTAACGCAAATTTATTTATTGGTGAAATAATCTCATTCGTCGTGTTACTTCTGGAATTAATTATACGAACGATGTTTTGCCTTTATCAGTATAACTGATCGCCAGAAATCTCTCAACAAGCCATGTCAGTATATGCTTTTCTTATTATTATCTAAGTTTTTATAATCCCTGTTGATAGCCTTTTACCCATGCATATTAGTAGCAGGCTAATTGTCAGCTAAAAATGGTTCCAATAATTTTCTATAATTATTTACTTCTATCCATAACTTATTTATTGTTGAACAATAACTTAAGAATTTTAGAAGTGAACCATGTATTCCCAATCACATTTATTGAAGAAAATTATTTTATAAATTATTATCAAATATATTAAAAGAGATATCAGCGAATTCTTGATTATTAGTAGCACGCTAATTGTCAGCTAAAAATGGTCCCAATAATTTGCTATAATTTTTTACTTCTATCTATAACTTATTTATTATCTAACCATAATTTAAGAGTTTTATAAGTGATCCATGTATTCACAATCACATTTATTGAAGAAAATTATTTTATAAATTATTGTCAAATATTATAAAAGAGATAACAGAGAATTCTTGATTTTAGCCACTATTTTTGTCTTTTAAACGTAGCAAATTGGTTCAAAACAAATTGCTTTATAAATTATACCAGTGTATCGTAAGAGAGTTATTTTGAATTAATTGGTTTTAGCCATTATTCGACTATCAGAAGTATAGTTTTTCCCCGTGTATTTCAGCAATGAGAAACGAAATAATTTTTTTCTTAGCAGACATATATTTTAAGACTATGAAAAAGATATTTTATGATACAATAAATAAAAAAAATTTGCTTCGCTAAAAGTAAAAAAATAACTTGATAAATTTGAAAATGGTCAGGAACTTATGAAATGGTTTGGTGTAAGATTAAATAAATGCAATATACGTATTTCTCGAAGTACTTTTTTTTTTAAAGTCAGGAAACCTGAAATATTTTTGTCAGTTTGATTTACAAAGAAAGGTGAATGAAGTTTATTTTTATTGATTAAAATTTTTATTTAAGAAATGCACTTTTGCAATTTCAAATATTAATTAAAAATATTTATGAAATTAATTTATCAAAGTGGATTAATACAACAATACAAAATACAACACGGATTGAAATATTACGAAATAAAGTTGTAAATACTAAAATATAGCCACTATGTTTATTTAAATGAAATTAATAAAAAAAAGAAGAGGATAAACTTTGAGGAATCAAATAATTTTCGTGAATTTTATTCAATTAATACAGATAGAATAATTATTTCCTTATTATTAAGATATTCTTCGCATAATGATTGTACTTCTTAAGAGTGTATTCGTTATTGTGAACTAGTTCGGGAGTTTTCCAATAAGTTTTTGACAGTTGTCCATTCCTTCTGTAATGATGACTGATATCCAACTTCGAAACACTTTCGAAAAAAAAGTTCTTACATTAAAAATAAATCTTTAGTTGCATAATTTTAAGAACTTGAAACTGATGTTAACATTCCCAAGTGTCTTTGTCCATCTGTTGGTCATCACCATACCACGTTTTCGGTACTAATACCTATAAAAAAAATAAAAAGAATAAAAATATACTTCGTGTAGAATTCTTTATGAAATCGGCTGGTCGTTACTGTTACGTCATAGACTCGTTAACGTGGAATATAAAATGGAATCAATTTTGACAGTTGGAGTTCATAAACGAAGAAAACGATGCAATGTTTACTTTTTTTATGGTTTATTTAGATGCTTTGCGTTTTCAAAAACATATCATTTGACATTAATACATTAGTAGGGTTTGTTTAATGCATACTTAAAAACATGGAGATAGTTATAAAAGTTTTTTATTCGTTATTCTACCATCACTTTTTGCCTACCGACCCGTATCATTAGTGGTGAAGGAAGCGTTAAGTGAAGTTGTCCGAAAAGTTATAATGAGGATTTCGTTTTCGCTTTTTTTATTGGGTTTATTATTTTTATCTTCAATTCAATTTTCAAGAAGAACCTTTTGATGTCCTCCTACTTAAAACTTCTTACCTTATACTTCACTTACGATGAAACTTCTTTATAAATAACCTCCTGCTACTAATTAAGTTATTTTTACGAATGCTTTATTAACTTGAACACGTTATCAAAATCAACTTTTAAACAACTAATGTAAGTATCACACATTTTCTTTGTTTACATGGAATCCAAAAATAGTTATTTTTCCCCCCCAGTATATGTTGATAGCTTATTGTTAACCAGAAGCTCCCCCATTCCTTGATTCTCTAACGAATCGCACTCCAATTATCTCCCCCCCCCTCCCGCAAAAAAATAAATAATAATAATTCATCTGAAACTCAATAGATTTGCACAGAGTGCACCTTTAATAAGTATTTTTGGAATAATCAAAAATGAAAACAAAGCATACATTGGTATTTACAAACAACAAGCAAAAACGCTATAGAAATCTGACTACTTAAAGTAAATGAAGGCAAATGTAATAAACATCAAAACAGGTTTTATTGGATGTTGAAATTTGAAGGTGCTTCTGATAATTCTCTTTCAAATCGTCAATGTTTCCCCTGCAATCAAATCTGTCTTGTTGTTTATTACTCTCACCTTCCTGTACCTGAAAGAATTAAATAGAGTTTTTGTGTTTTCCTCGTTTAAATATTAATTTTTGTATACTTTCTTGTTTTCCATTTTTGATAAGGATTCTAAAAATATATATTAAGGGCGGCTTTTACTGAACACTCTATAGATATTTAACAAAGCATATGAGCAGCATATTAACAGCAAGTAAAAAATCACTTTATGGATTTCAGCTATTTATTTGTATCAATAACTGATTAATGCGTGCCGACAATTTACAATCATATTTAATGATAAAAAATGCTTAGATAAATTATCGTCAAATATCATGAAATCATTGATATCTAATCATTGTAGATATTTAACAAAGCATATGAGCAGCATATTAATAGTCAATAAAAAATCACTTTATGGATTACAGTTATTATAAAAAATGCTTGGATAAATTATTGTCAAATATCGTGAAATCATTGATATCTAATCAGTGTATAGATATTTAACAAAGCATACGAGCAGCATATTAATAGTCAGTAAAAAATCACTTTATGGATTAGTGTTATTTATTTGTATCAATAACTGATTAATGCGTGCCAACAATTTACAGTCATATTCAATGATAAAAAATGCTTTGATAAATTATGGTCAAATATCATGAAATCGTTGATATCTTTCAGAAGCTTGGATTGCTAATTAAAAACTTCCAGCTTGAAGATTGTTTTGATGGAAAACTGAACCGTTTTGAATCATCATTTAGGCAGCATAGGGTATCTATAATTCTAGTATTATGACCGCTTTTAAGAACGATTACTTACCTTTTAATTCTTGGAGATAATCTATCTATATTATATAAAACGCTAATACGTACGTATGTATGTATCAATAAAGCCGCGCTCTCTTTTCTCGCGCTCTCGCGCGCTAAATTCTTTTCTCGCGCTGGCAACAGTTTTCATTTTTAATTGATTGGATTCGGCGCGCAAGAGCACGTAGTGAGCAACCAGATAACAATAACCAGAGTGAGCATTATCAGGTTGTTCAATTCAGATTCATGCACTAAAAACATGACAATATTTAATTTAAACTCAATTAGGAATTAATTAATTAATTGAAGTGAGAATGCTTTAAAAGGCCGCTGTTGAATTGATATTTNCGTGCCAACAATTTGCAATCATATTTAATGATAAAAAATGCTTAGATAAATTATTGTCAAATATCATGAAATCATTGATATCTAATGATTGTACAGATATTTAACAAAGCAAATGAGCAGCATATTAATAGCCAGTAAAAAATCACTTTATGGATTACAGTTATTTATTCGTATCAATAACTGATTAATGCGTGCCAACAATTTGCAATCATATTTAATGATAAAAAATGCTTAGATAAATTATTGTCAAATATCATGAAATCATTGATATCTAATGATTGTACAGATATTTAACAAAGCAAATGAGCAGCATATTAATAGCCAGTAAAAAATCACTTTATGGATTACAGTTATTTATTCGTATCAATAACTGATTAATGCTTGCCAACAATTTGCAATCATATTTAATGATAAAAAATGCTTAGATAAATTATTGTCAAATATCATGAAATCATCTATATCTAATCATTGTATAGATATTTAACTAAGCGTATGAGTAGCATATTAATAGCCAGTAAAAAATTACTTTATGGATTACAGTTATTTATTCGTATCAATAACTGATTAATGCGTGCCAACAATTTACAATCATATTTAATGATAAAAAATGCTTAGATAAATTATTGTCAAATATCATGAAATCATTGATATCTAATCATTGTATAGATATTTAACTAAGAGTATGAGTAGCATATTAATAGCCAGTAAAAAATCACTTTATGGATTACAGTTATTTATTCGTATCAATTAGAGATTAATGCGTGCCAACAATTTACAATCATGTTTTAACGATACAAAATTCTTAGATAAATTATGGTCAAATATCATGAAATCATTGATATCTTTTAGCTGCTTGGATTGCTAATTAACTTCCAGCTTGAAGACTGTTTTGATGGAAAACTGAACCGTTTTGAAACATCATTTAGGCAGCAAAGGGTATCTATAATTCTAGTATTATGACCGCTTTTAAGAACGATTATTCACCATTTAATTCTTGGAGATAACTATAAGAAAAAGACAAAAATTGATCTCTTGTATTTAACAGATGAATGTATAATCATGATTTATATGTGGACTTACTGGTTTAAATATGTAGGAATCTGACAAAAAAAGTTATCTTAAGACTTGTTGCTTTCATAGTTCGATCGATTTGGTAATTTTGAAATAACGTTTTGGGAATGCAATTACTATCTTAAACTCTTCTAAAAAGTATCAGCTAAACTTTTACGCATCCTTTTCGATGGAGAAAGTGAACTATGTTGTTTTATTGATTAATTTTCTTTCATTTTTTATGCATAAAAATAAAAATAAAAAGATGTGGAATTTTCTTAAGTATCACTAAATTTAATCGCGAGTTGAGACAGCGACGTGAGGCTTCAATACAGAGAAAAAAAATTCTGGTCGAACTATTGTATTGTATGATAATGCCATTTCTTATTAAAAAAGACAGCCCTAATTCTTGCTAATGAAATCAAATTATACAGTATTTTTCCGTTTAATGGTAACGATTTACCAGTTATTTTGGTTTGCAAATCTATAGTTCTTGTTGCTGCACATCTAGTAAATACAAAACTAAAAAGTAAATTTAACTAAACAAATGGTTTTAATGCCATGCTCTAAGCTACCATGCTAAAATTACCACATTTACCAAGTTTTATCACAGATTATAAACCCAAATTTTATTTTTAATTTTACCAAATACATTAACAAATCACCTAGGTAAAAATAATCGAGATTTTGGTTGTTCTCAAGGAGCCAGAAGCACGGTAAATTTTACCATATTCTGGTAGTTTTGACCACGTTTGTTTTTCTCAGTATGGAAATCAGAGCACGAAACTTTGACTAACTGGGATACAGTTTCCCTATCTAATGAATGTCAGAACCCATTTCTCCATCTTGTTTAATGTCGCTTATCAAAAACTAAAAATTCCTAACGTGAGAAACCACTTTACTATTTTATTCGATATTACCAATGGTTTTATAAATTATGGCCATTTATCCTGAAATGGATTAATTGAGACAGTTTTTTTCATTATTACTAAGAGGTTCGTTCCGTTCGCTAAACTCCGTAATTGATTCTCATTCATTATTGTTTATTTTCTTCTTAATCATCAATATTTTCCAGAAAACGCAGAATATTTTAGTTTTCAAATATAAAATTTTTGTAATAACATTTTGTTAATGCGTTAATCGTAATGAAATAGATGATTATTTAGATTTGTAAAATAATCATCTGTACTAGGGAAAAATATTAACCTAAGGAATACAGATTGCGAGATTCAAGAAATAAATGCGAGGCAATTTTGCTTCGCATGAAGAAATAAATGTGAGGTTGAAATGTGACTTATAACAGTTTAATTAGGGAACGGTTTTTAGCTCTATTTATCAAGTTATTTTTGTATTTTCAAATATTTTGCTATGAATGATATGATTATATTTGGTAACAGGTAATCTCTCTCTCTCTCTCTCTCTCTCTCTCTCTCTCTCTCTTATTTTTGCTACTTTTTATTGACATCTATGCAAGAGTGATCTTATAAAATAAAGATCTCGGGAGGGAAAAATAAATTTCCAACTAAAGTTGAAAAATAGTCAATATTTTAAGCAAAAAAAGGTGAAAATAGAGATCACGAAAAAGAGCTTAAATCTGCACTAACTTTCGAACATTTTGGAAAAAAAAAATAGTGCGTGGAGTCCCTTGCGCGGAAGAAGTTAAACTTCGCAACCTGCGACGTTAATTGTAGAAGAATCAGCAGTCGTAGAAGGATCACTAGTTCTATTCAACGACTCTTTTTCCTGCTCCGCTCGCTTCCGTGCTCTGTAATCACGGTAATATTGTGCATTTTTCCCTCGTGGACCTCTTGAACCAGTGGAAGTGCTTGTGGTTGCCTCATCGTCTCGCCCTGGAAAATGTATTTGTATTAATAATGTATGTGAATGCGTCATAATGTAATTTCAGAAGAGAAAACCTAACAATCAATTGATATTCACAAGAGACGTACCTTGACATAACCTTAAATCCGTCGCATTGTCCGTGGGATTGTTTTCACTCATTTTTTACAATTGTTATCCACTAAATTTGAAAATAAAAAATACTACCCTATTAAATTATATGTGTATCAAAACAAACTAAAAAAATATTTATAGAAAAACAATACTTTTATGACTTTTATTATTTTTATGCTAGTGAGAACCAAAACAATATGGAAATGAATGAGGGAAAACTGGATCCTACCACGTGATTTCCCGGCCAATAAAAATGTAGCATTAAACGTTTAACGCAACCTTGTTGGAAGTCGCATAAGAAGTATAACTTCAAAAAAAACTCTTGATAAAATTATAATACAAAATGGCCTTATCAGCAGGTTAAAAACTCTGTAGTTACGTTCCAGTGGAAAATAGATCAACCAACATGTTTTATTTTTTTTTTATTTTTTTTTTTTTACTTCTAGTTTAACAGTTATTAATTCGCGAACTAATAATCAAACCTTTTTTTTTTTTTTTGTATTTCATCGAACTCTTCTTACATTCTGCTACACACCTTTGTAATGTCAAGTTTCTAAGCCTTATAAATTTTGAGCAAGAAAGAATAATGCAACTTAAAGCAAAGAATAAATTTGCAAAAAAGCAATGAAAATTTCAATAACTTTCGAACAAATTGGAACTACGAAAAAAAAATTTTTTTTTTTCATAATCAAATGCGAATTTTTCATCATGCCAAATTTCAACTCTGTAGTTGCATTCCTGCCGCCTGTAGAGCGGTCCGTATGATATTTTTTCTAACAAGCTTAACAGCTAATAATTGTTAAACAAAGCTATCGAATGTTACTTTATTTTATTCCATCGCAACTTTTCTACAAATTGAACATTTTATATATATTTCTATAAACTTTTCTAGAGATCTTAGAAGTTTCAAGTTTCTAAGTCTCATAATTTTTGCTCAACAAAACAAAATTTAACTTTGAGGTGAACACCCAAAACTGCAGAGGCTCCGGCGTCAGCGATTCTTACGATGTCGAATTATGGGAATAAAATAAAAGTGTCAAAAATTCATGTCTCATCAACCGTTCAGTGTCCAAATTTTGTCTTAATCAGAAAATTGGCTACCAAAATTTATGTTTGTTCGTGCTGTCTGAATTGGGTACTTGCAACTCGAAAAATAAAGAGATTATGCCTAACCATGTAATTTAAACTAGATTTAAGTGGATAACTTTGAGCAACGTTACGCCTGTGAGCCAAACCTGATCAGTTTCTGAATTGACAAATGCTACGATTTATGGGAAATGATGCATGTGTGAATCACTTCTCTAACAGTTAGAACAGATGAAGACGAACATTTTATTTTATATTTTACTCAAACATTTTTATTAGATTTTTAAAATATCACAGTATTTTAAGACATTTAAAGCTCAGAAGATCTAACCCTGGCTTGACTAGCGGTGCCCGGATGATCTTGATCCGTTCCAACTACATTCATTATCGTAAATTATCCTTAGAAGTAGATAGATCATTGGCAAGAGTAGGTTTTACTACCATATAAGCAATTGGTTGTTAGCTTAAAAAGCTAAAAGCTTGTTAGTCTTAACATTTTTTACAGCCTACCCAATTTTTTTGTGTTTACGACCTTTAATGGTCAATTCCCGTAGCCTTGTAGTTTTGAATCCAACCCAGAAAACAAGGGAATTCCTGGGTTAAGTATTGGCGTAAACTAGCTTCCCATGGAGGAGTTTTTCATGGAACTAATCCACACTTGCGTTACATAGGGAGGAAAACTATGTAAATCTCCCTCAGTTTGTTCGACGGAAAGGGATTCTAATTCATGACCAATCTTTCAATTGTTGCAAAATTTCGGGAAACCCCGATAATGCAGCGTTAAAATATATCTATATTTTTCAAATATTAAAAAATTAAAATAGAGATGTTTCAGCTGATGTCACATCACTTACACAATTGGAAATCCGTCAATGATCAGTCAGTTTCAGATGCAACCAATAGGACTACGTTTTTATTGGGAACGGAATACGAATTGTCCAATAGAAATAACGCAAGCGGAAATTGATTAAATGGTTGTGGAACACTGATCCAGTTCAGCCTCTTGTGTGAAAATCTTTCTAAAATTGAAGCTTAATTTCGCAAATATGGCTTTTTTTCAGAACGACCTTTTACGCCATTTTGATAATTAGCATAGAGGGTACTGGCTAAACTCGACCTTACAGTTATGAGTAACTACAGACACTCGATGCAGTTATGAAAGTAGCATGTTAATTAATTGAAAAAAAATATTATTTTATGTGACGACAGAGCCTTCGAAAAACTGCCTGAACCACTTAGTTATCACGGGGCCTGCCATCTTGGACATTTAAGTTAAGGAATAGCTACTACTTCCTTAGTTTGATATCGAGAAAAGGTAAAGTAAGACATATAAAAAATATCCATCTGTAATTTTAGAACACCTACTTCAAGGTGATTTCGGTCACTAATTATTTAGCTCTATTTTTAAATTTTTATTTCCTAATTTTATAATTATTTATTGATGTGTAATTTTCAGAGTTAATGCAATAATTGTCTAAAATTAGCAACTGCAGTTTTCTGATGGAAAATTAAAGTTTTCTCGTAGTTTCCTGACCATACTTTGGAAATGTCACCAAACAGAACTCCAACACCCTATCCCGTTTTCAGAAGACCGAAAAGCAACACTAAAGACGAAAAAAATGTCGAGAAAGAAGATTTAAAAGATTACTGCAAGGATATGTTGGCGAATTCCATGCTCACTGGAGTTCCTCAAATTGTATCTGCTCCCACTACAAGAAGCAGAGTTTTCAAAACCTTTGTCGTACTTGGCAGCTTTACTGGGTTCGTATAAACAATAACTCTCTTTTTGTTGTATTTTTCAGGACTAAGTTTTCTAAATATTTGAACACTCAAATAAAGACATAAACAGTGTAACATTTACAAGAGTCAAACTATTCATGTACAGGGAGCAAGAAAAAAAATTTTTTTTTGTACATAACCTTCTGAGACACATCTTCCGATATATTAGGCAACATTTGTTAGAATTTTATTACTTAAAAAACTTTACAGGGTAATTAAAAATGAATAAAGTGATTACAAACTATTTAATGAAAAAGGACATATTGATAAAATTTACACAGAATGTAGAAGGAACTTCAAAATTTTGTATACATGCGTCAGAGACTTTCCATGTGACTTCCCTTGGTCACATGGACGGCATCTAGGCAGTCGTCGCTCGTAGCATCATCGCTCATAGGATGTCAAGTCCGGAGATCTTGGTGGCCAAAGCAGAAGACATCATCTGCATCTCTACTTCGACCGATCCAACGGTTTCAAAGATGTTGATTTAAAAATGTGCGAACCATCGTACCCTGGTGTGAGGGTGCTCTGTCTTGTTGTGAAATACAATCCGTAGAATCAGTATCTAGCTGTGACATCAACTGTACCTCAAGCATGTCAAGATAAACATTTGGCGTAATACTTCGCTCACAGAAGTAAAAGGACCGTACAATTTACGTGATGAGATCTTGCAGAACGCATTAACTTTCGCTGAGTCACGTTCATGTTAAATTGCAGCGGAAGGCTTTTCCGTACCCCATATTCGACTGTTGTGTCGCTTAACCTTCCCACTTATGTGGCAGGTAACTTCATCGCTAAAAATGAGACGATCAGCCATTGTTTCATCCTCCATGCTTTCCAGCATAAACGTAAAGTAGTTCATACGTTTGCCGTAGTCTTCCTGTTTCAATTGCTGCACAAGTTGAATTCTGTACGGCTTCAGTTGCAGCCCGTGTCTGTTTGTGCCATTTGTAACTCCTTACTGCCTTCGTGGATTTCGTTCATACGTGCTGCGAATTCTTTTAACGTTTTCCGCTGAAACACGTGACCTTCCGCTACTTTTCCCTTTGCACACACATCCCGTTTCTTCAAACATCCCATGCCATCTGCGTATGTTGTTCCCATTTGGAGGTTCTGTAACGCTGACGAAATCTTCTTAGCACTTACTTTATCCAAATCAATTAAGATATCCTAATCCTCATGTTCCACTCGTTTAAGAGGTATTTAACTACATATTTGAGATAATTTTCCTGGAGATATAAATAAGATAGATACTAAGTATCATAGGTATATACTTTTCCCTCATAAACTACAAATAGAGCCATGAATAATTTCTGCTTATTTTACATTTAATTTTATAGATTTTTGTATCAGACGTCAGCCTTTTTAGTCATCTACTTCTCGTACCCAACGTTAGTAGATCTTCAAGTTACCACTCCACCTATGATTGATCTACCTGCTCTAACAATATGCAATAGAAATGGGTATGATTTCATAGTATTTTATTTTTTGATCTATGAGCACTAACAATGTGCAATAGAAATGGGTATAATTTCTAAGTACTTTATTTTTTGATTCACCTGTAATATGCAATAGAAATGGGTATGATTTCAAAGTAATTTCTTTAGCAAACTACCATTCTTAACGAAATGCAATAAAAATGGATATAATTTCAAAGTAATTTAATTTTTGATCTATCAGCTTCAAGAAAATGCAATAAAAATAGGCATAATTTCAAAGTACTTTATTTTCTGATCTATCTGCCCTAAAAGTATGCAATAGAAATGGGTATGATTTCAAGGTACTTTATTTTTTATCTATCTACTCTAACAATACGAAATAGAAATGGGTATGATTTCAAATCACTTTATTTTTTGATCTACCTGCACTAAAAATATACATACGAGATAGTATGATTTCAAAGTACTTTATTTTTTGATCTATCAGCTCTAACAATATGCAATACAAATGGGTAAGATTTCAAAGTACTTTTCATTTTGATCTATCGGCTCTAACAATATGCAATAAAAATTAGTATAATTTCAAAGCAATTTATTTTTTTATCTATCTGCTCTAACAATACGAAATAAAATTGAGTATAATTTCCAAGTACTTTATATTTTGATCTACCAGCTTTAACAAAATGCAATAAAAATTGGTATAATTTCAAAGTACTTTATTTTTTTGATCTATCTGCTCTAACAATACGAAATAGAAATGGGTATAATTTCAAATCACTTTATTTTTTGATCAACCTGCTCTAGCAATATGTGATAGAAATGGTTTTGATTTCAAAGTACACTATTTTTTGATCTATGATACTCTAACAATATGCAATATAAATGGTATAATACTCTAACAATAATATGCAATATAAATGAATAATACTCTAACAATATGCAATATAAATGGGTATGATTTCACAATACTTTACTTTTTAATCTATCTGCTCTAATAATATACAATAGAAATGGGTATAATTTAAAAATATTTTATTTTTAAGATGAACAATATCAAAAAATAATTAAGTAAAAATGATAATCTGTAAGTCAACTTTTCATATTCAATTACGAAGTTCAAAAAAATTTTCTTACTTTTAAATATGCACAACTTATTACCTACAGTTTGTAACTTTCACTCATAATTTAGTGTTAATAAATATTATTCACTTATTACACACACTATCATTTATGGGTAATTACTACGAATAATTAATTGCAGCTAATAATGCTTATTTTTATTATAATTGACAACAACAAATTATCAACTGGAGTTAATAAATGCTAATAATTAATAAAAATGTATTATTAATTAATTCTACACTCTGAATAACTTTATTCTAATAATGGGACTTTCGTGTACAAGAGGTCTTAGAACTTTTTGTTACGAGTTTAACACTTGAAATATGTTTGTCAATTAGTTCTGACCAATTATTAATGAAAAAATCTGGGGAAAAAAGCTTAATATTAAAATTAGTATTTTTCTTCTCTTTATTTATAAATTTCATTTTTGAAAAAAAAATCGGTTGAATAGTTTTCAAAAGATAAAAATTTAAAAAAGAAATTTAAAAGAAAAAAGAAATTGAAAATAAATTCAGTAAATGCACTTTTAAATATGAACATGAAAGAACGTGTGTTTCCAATTGTCAAGCGACATACTTTTCTATATACTGTTGTTGTTGTTGGCGTATGCCATTAAAGCAGAGGGGGTATGATTGTTCTTGTTTTCCAGTGGCGCCATCTATGGTCAAGAATTCGAATTCTGCCACTCCCATACATCACACCCGTTTATAGGGTGGACCCATTCATACATCCACAGATGGTAATTTTGACCTGAATCAGAGAACGATCAATCTCCAATTCAGTACACCCAGAGGTGTTGATTTGTTATGGGAACATGGAGGACTTTGAGAGTCGACAGATTTAACGTGCATCAGTCACCATTTACTGCACGGGGAGTCTTCGACCGGCAGGGATCGAACCCACTACCACTTGGACATGGGCCCAGTGCCCTACCAACCAGGCTATCCCGGCCTCTTTCTATGTACTAAATTCCTCATACAGAATTCGTTTGAATAAATAAAAATAAATAAAAGAATAAATAAATAAAATCAAAATATAAAAATCAATGAATGGATCAAAATAAATGAATAAAATAATTAATAAAAATTAAGTAAATGAAAAGAAAAAAATTATTGTAATTTCCTAGGTTTTAATAATATTTTAAATTTCATTAATATTTTTTAATTACAAAGAGAAGCCTTATTTTATATTTTTGAAATCTTACTCTATATTTTATTAACAAAATTAAAAATTCAGTCACTTTAAGAATGAGGACATTAAAAAAGAAAAAGAAACCAAAAATATCTAAGTAAAAATAGTTGCCCTGAAATGACAAAATGAGACTAATTTTGAGTGATAAAAATAGAGCAGAAAAGTCAATAAAACAGACACCACCTGATGAAATGCAATTAAGGTAAAGAGTTTGTAAAAAAAATTTGAAGGTTATTTTTAAAAAAAATGTCAAGAGCACTGAAAACAAGGACTAAAGCGAACGTTCAAGAAAATTAGTAATAAAACTTTTATAACATGAATTATGCCAGATGAAGAGTTGATGTTGAGAAAAATAAGATTTCGAAACCTGGAATTGATCTACTCAATAATATTTATTACCAATAAAAGAATGTAAAAAATTAAAATCTATTTTCATCATTCAGCTAAAAGATTTTCTCAATAATTATTATTACAAACAGTGTAATAGAAATTGTAATTAATAAAATAATTTTCATTAAATGTGCTGTGACATTTTGTAACATGATTAAAATAAATGAAACGAGATTCAAGGGCAATCAGGTGAGCTGAAGCGTCAGGAGTGGGTTGTCTTTACAGAAATTAAATTTTCGCCCAAGGTCCTAACAATGTGCAGTGTTTTAGAATTGTTGATCTCTTCATGACGAACATATTGATCGCATTCTTTTATTCTATATTTCAGAGGGCATTTGTTTTTCATAATCATCTTGATCATTCATGTGAACATAGATTATTTAGTGAATGATCTTATTTCTACCCAACCTCTGCGGAAAACACATTCCGCCCTGATTTGCCTCCTTTGGCCGCCAGCGATCTCTTGGCTATCATGGTTTCTTTTCCATTTTTATTCCCACAAAATTTCCTTGAGCTATATTGTTTGCAACAGTGCCATTTCTTGTGTTTAATCACATCTGTTTCTGTTTTCGCCCATCACGTGGTGTCATTATGATGAGTGTCATGTTTCAACAGTTTGAAGTATATCGACCTTACTTCACTTTCACCTATGAAGAAAAGAGATTTTTTTTAAAAAACTTTCTAATGCATTATAGTCTTTAATCGCAAATTCAGCGAGGAAAACATTTCCTATGTTGACTGAATTTAAAATTTTCAGAAATGTAAGTTTTTTTTTGAAAATAAATGTTGTTATTGACTTTTTTTTTAAAAAAAAAAGGGTGAAATATGAATTTTTAAATTTGATGTAATTTGTTTTAGACTCAAACGTACAAACTATTGTAAAATGAAACCAGAGAACTGCGAACCAGTCGAATACGCTGATTTTTTTTGTCAGCGGTATCCAGAAGCGTGTGAAAATGGTCGTATTAAAGGCAATTCTTATGTAAGTAGTGCTCTTTGAAACTGTTTCGTTAAACACTTATATCAGTAATTAATTATCCATTACGCCCTATCTCAAAAAGTTAAAATAACTAAGCTTTTCCTGGGGGCCAGTCACTGCTTTGAAAAATTATCAGAAACATAATGTGCTTCATAAATTTAATGTACTTCGAAATTAAATTTTAAGTTGAGAAACTACTTTTTTGCCATTCATTTTTTAACATTTTGTTCTAAAAGAGACCCCCATTTACCTATTGGCATCGTTTTTTTTCTTGCTTCAACTCTAACCTTTGGGGCCGTGTCAATCAATTTGGGACCCTCTTTAATTGTGATATTCCACTGAATTGCTATTGAAAACTATACAGTATGAACTGTAGGTTAGAATTTCTGATTCTTAATTAAAACAATAAAAACAAAAATATTGTTCAAATGATGAAAATCTCTTTTAATCACAATTCAAGAAGTATTTATGGGATCTCTCTGGTCCCATCATTATCAAACATCGGTCGCCATAGAAACGTATGCAATGACGACGCATGCGCACTGTTTACTGTTACTCTTGAACACAGTTGAAAAGTGTGTTAACGTCCAAATAAAGTGCGCAAGTCTTAAAACCCAAAACAAGACCCATTTTGACAAAATGGGTAATATTCATCCCCTCGGCAGAGGATCAACTTGTCTTTGGTTCATCCTCAGACCGTCACCAATAGCCCATTGTGCAACTCTAGTGCGACGTAAATTAACAACAACAGCCAATGGGCAGTAAAATAATTAAAAAAAAACGTGTTTTGAAAATTAAATGATACGACGAAAATTTTTAACTTTGGCGAAAATATTGTAACTTACCTACGGCCAAGAGCGTGCTGGACATTATTTCAGCATTTTTCCCAATATCCAACCAAAGGTATCCGCCAAAAGAAGTGGATCTGGTGTTATGGTGTGAAGGGCTTGGCATAATTCGGCTTGGGTCTCTTAGTTCTTAGTGTTTGGGTTTCTTAATTCTGTGGCTGGTAACATTAAGTCTAAGATATATATGGATATTTTAAATGATGTTGCTCCCTCAAATCTATGGCAATATTTTAGGGAAGGCAAATTTTTTTTTACTGGATAATAGCTTTATCCTTACATCAAGACTAGATTAGTAAGACATTTATTTTTTTCATAACCGGCGTGAACAACCGACCCAATTTTGGATTTAGGATTATTAATGTTTAACTCAGTAGCCTTGCAATTTTCAACCCAATTCAGAAGATATAAGAATTCCTGGATCAAGTAGTGGGAGAAATTTGTCTTCGTGGAGGACGTTTTTGATAGAACTAATCTGCATTTGCGTTACGGCAAGGGGACTCTAGCCCATGATCCGTTTACTACTGAGGAAATTTTATGTCAGCACTACTGTCGGTGCAAGACGGATGCGGAATTCGTATAGACCACGAACCCGGTTTACCCCAGTGGAAAGTGAACGCTCTATTCCCCGACCCACCATGGCTCTGAGACATAGATTGACGAAATGGATGTTCAATTGGACATCCATTTCGTCAACCAATGAAGTAGACAATTAATCAAATTTTCATCTTGTGACTTAGCCAAGTTAACTGTTAACCAATCAAAGCTTATGCTGTGGTTAAAGCTTCTTTATACGCTTAGCTTCTTCATAAAATCCTCTTTTTGCTCTGAATTTTTTAAAAAAAAGAAAAGAAAAAACGGTTCTAAAGTGAGGGGAGAAGTTTTCCCTTTCACAAACATACACAAAACAGAGCTTGTTAATTGAACCGGTTGAATCCCAACTCTTCCTTGCTGAGATCACCTTACTCATGAGGGTAACATGAACATTCAAACGTAAAAAGTTAAGAGAGTCTCCCCAGCTGTGCGTACTCTGCCAGACATTCGTCTGGAGCTGTAGCGGTGACATATATGGCAACGTTACTTTTAAAAAGTAACGAGTAAAAGTACAAGTATTTTTAAAAAATGTAAAAAGTAAAAAGTTCTTATTTTAAAAAGTAACGAGTAAAGAATACAAGTAAAAGTACAAGTACTAAACAAAAAAAGTAACGATTTAAAAGTACATTTCTAGGAAATCGAAATTTCAAAGTAACCTAAAGTTTTACTGAATAATATTCTTATGTTCTTTAATGTTTTTGCAAAATTGTTGTTATTTGTTTAATTATTTTTCATTTTGAAAGTTACGGACATTAATTTCTTTTTAAATTCGGAAGAATAATATAATATAATTTTGTAATATAATCATATAATATAATTTTAAAATCAAACATAATTTTAATATCAAACTTCTTATTAATTTGCACGAAAAAAATTTTTTATCTATTGATTGTAATTTTTAGTTTATTATTCTTATTTATTTAAAACCATTGCCATTTATTTAAAATTGTTTTACTCTATAGAAACGCATTTTAAAAACACAAACATAAACAAAGCAAACACGTGGTTTCTGATAGCTTTGTGATCTTTGAGCTAGTAAAAAATAATTGAATGTGCAGTATAAGTTGAAACAGAAGGTATTTANTCGTTGCTATCTTAATACGGCACTAAGTTGAATAACATTAGAGAGATTTTGCATAACGTTTGTTTGGCATTAACCGTGACGACAACCTTGCGTTCTCTTCCTCAGCGATGCTTTAATTTGTAAGGAAATATTTGCGCATGAGCTGTGAAGCTCAAGAATGTTAGAGTTGGAGACAGCCGTAATGCTATACAAATTATCTATGTTATCGAACTTTTTGAACTTGATTACATGATGCAACTTGAGTGGTTTAACACCTTATTGAGGTTGCATCAAAGTTGCAAAGTATTAATTATAGTTAAGGGTTCTGACATTAGGGTTTAATGTTAAACCATATTTCCTTTGAGAGAAATAGTTTGGACAGCGATGGAAGCTTTGTGATAAGTGCATATCATACGTTAATATTGATGATTATTACATTTGAATTTCCTTTCCAGTTTCCGACGCTTGAAGCTCAGTCTGAGGAAGTGACGGCCACACAAGATATGATACAAAAGGCAGGACATACATCGTATCCTCTCATATCTTCGTGCCATTTTGAAGGACTGAATCGCACGCATGACTTTTGCAAGTACGTTTTTCAGTAATAAATATCACTATTTATCCGAGCAACTAATTTGTGATTTGTGGTGGCTGGGTGGCGCAGTTAGTTTGTCGTCGGCCTTCTGAGCCTAAGTCTGCGGGTTCGATCCCCGGCCCAGACATGATTATGCGGCATGTAAAAGATCCCTGGAGTGCCTTATTGGCTCTCGGCATTTCCGGCAAATTACATTCCTAGTGCACTTTAGCATCCAAATAGAGTTTCGGTGCTGCCATCTAGTGTGGCAGAAACTAGACGTTCAAATTAACATGGCCAACGGTATCTCACCCATTGTGGTCGTTCTGAAAGAGTGGATACCACTTCTGGAGAACACACTAGGTCTGCTCATCGGGAATACTGATTGTGCAGCTCATTGGAAATAAAATTAAAAAAAATTATGATTTGTATGTCATGTGAATTTACCATTCGCACTCCGCCAATTGATTAAAAAAATGTATAATGTCCAGAAAAAAACAAAAGCACTCAAAAAACAATAACATTTGATCTAACGATTAGATTTTCATGTGTTAGGAGTGAATCTTAAATGTGAGGGTGAGGGTGACCTCCAATATGCTAAATTGGAGGTAAATAGGCTAAATTGGAAGTCCAATATGCTGAATTGGTGCAGACGATATTTTAAGTTACGAAATAAGACACAAAATTGAATTTTCTTTGAGAAAACATACTTTTTTTCGATGGGTTTTGATTTCTGACCCCCGAAATATAAGGGGGGTCACAATCCGGGAAATATGGTTGCAAGAGTTTGGTCAGGAGAGCAGTAAAAAAATCTGACTCATTAATGATCTTTTTACTTTTTGCGCCTTTCATATTTCGAGAACTTTTTAAGTGAATTGAAAGAATTTTACTCACATTTTTTAAAAATTCCTTTGTCCAAAGATAATTTCACGTAAAAATTTCTTTTAAATAATTATTTATTATTTTTTGCTTATTTATTTAATAATAGTCGAAAATTCGCATTCAAATCTTTACATCTTTTTACAGTTTTTATAAAAACTTCTGAATCTGTAATTTCAGAAATACAACGTTTAAAAGTTTCGTCTTTCAAGACCTGTATGGCAGAATGAAGAAATGCTACATAATTAATGCCTTGTGGCAGGAAGCTCGCCTAAATCTACCCCAAGTACCAACAAGAGCAGGTATGATATTATTAAAATTTTACACCTATAAAAATTTAAATAAGTTCCTCTATTCTTCAATGTAAACTATTTCCTTTATTGTAAACTGCTATTTCTCCATATACTATAAATAAGATAATTAGCCTCTAAGACTTTCGTACATTATTACTGGGCAGAAAAATCACGAAATAGTTAGCTGATATCATTAATAAAAGTCGACGCCTGGTGGCTGAGCGGTAGCACTTCGCGCTGTCGTGCCACAGGTCTCTGGTTCGATCCTTGAACCGGGCAAGGTTGACTCAGCCTTTCATCCCTTCAGTGGGTCGATAAAATGAGTACCAAGCTAAACACTTGGGGTTCCACATTGGGTTGACTACCCAACCGGAACATCTGATCTTGCACCTCAGAGCCCAAAGGTCAAGAAAACTGAGAAGTTTTCCTCCACAGTAAGCCTTTGTCCTCTATGGGCTGTCGTGCCATTGAATTTAGATTCGTTAATGAATGTCACGTTGGTATTGATCAGTTAAGGGAGAAAATTTTTTTTGCATGAGATTTTTATTTAATAGATCTTAAATACTTTTGTATCTCTAATTTCAAATCTGCAATCGGTTTTTCCCTCCAAGCGGCAGATTTGTTTAAAAATTACAATTTTGTGTATTTCTTTTATCTAAATGTACAAGTTTATAAAACGTTATATATAACAGGGGTCGCGTTAATGTAGGGGAGTTAAATGCACATCACTATACTCCGTTTCACCTGAAGCTGGCTCTGGAGAGAAAGGCAGGTAGACCGTATTGCAGCCGTTATCATGGTAACTGGGTTGTTCTAAGATAGTTGGGAGCATGAGGTGGCAAGGAAAAAAAAGAAAAAGAAGTGGCTAATATGGTTCATTGTAGACCTCGCCCAAAGTTAAGCTGTCAAGATAAGGATAATTGCTTTCAGGTGCGTTAAAAAGCCCCCCTAGAACGGGCTTGGCTTAATACTCCCTTGGCATGATAGAGTTTATTTCTCTTGGCGCTTTTCTTATAACAAGGTTACTATTTCTCCTGGTATGAAGAAGGATTTTTCCTGTCCGCAAGTGTGTAATCGAAGTCTTAGTCATGAGAGGGAAAAGTCTTAGCTATCAGAGGGAAAATTTTCTAAGAATGAAAGAAGCTTGACCTTGACTTACCACCATTTCATGAATAGCTTATCTTATCTAGCGAAGTGAAATAGATTTATGTAGTGTTTCTGAAATTTTAAATAAACTATAAAATTTCAATTATCAGAACATTTTTTTCTAAGCATTGGAAGTCGTTATTAACAATCGCATTAAATAAATATTTGAAATCTTTAAGAATTTTTTTAATTGTAGTTCAAATCTAATTTTTCATTGAGTACAATTATTACGTCAATTAAATTTAATGAAATCGATCATAATGTTATTACTATTATGATTAATAATTNAAAAACACTCGGAAATGTCGTGTAATGTTTTAACTCAAATCCCTAAAAATCCCTTGCGCATCCGAAAAATTTCGCAAGTTTCACTCTCCCACTAAAGGAAGAATTAATCAACTATGTCTCTCAAAACGGAGGGAAATCGGTTTTCCATTTGAGACCCTTTATCGTCATTGGCATCATAAAGATTTGGCGAGTAATCTTCTACGGGAACAGGTGCGGTTTTTCAATAGAGCTCCTCCGCCCACCTCATCAATCATTCAGGTAGGGGAGAAACTTTTAGGCGAGATCTATAAGACAGCCCTAATATTGGCGTTAAAGAAAACGAAGTGACGATTTCTTTTTTCTTTTTTTTTTACCAAGAATCTTACTAAAATTTAGAACAAAATACAGAAGAGAACAAGACAAGATCAAGAACGCTCCTCTATTGTAAACTGTTTCGGAAGAGATGAAAATAAGTAAGAGCGTGGTAACATTTCCGGACATAGGTTTCTATGTAGTTTTAATCCTGATGATGTGCCCTAACTTCCCTGGAAGATAAAATTTTTAAATTTGTACATTTAGAGAAAAACATACACTAAAAATGTCCTTTTTAAAGAAATCTGTAGCTTTAGGAGCAAAACCAATTTCATATTTGAAATCCCTACGCCTGAATTAGGCAAGATTTATGTAAATGCAACAAAAAATTTGTTTCCCAGTGTTATTTATAGATTCATTGTTTAACGGTATTACCTGCAGTAATTGTTTTATATCCATTCTCGACGCTATTCTCTTCTATTATTAAGATTTTGATTATTTTTCAAAATTAAATTCTTAAGACTAAAAGCGTTGTTGCTTGCGTTATAAAGCAACTTTTACCGTACAGTGAAATATTTCATGATAAACAACTTTATTTACCGTTCTACAATCATTAAAATGTAAAGTCATACTATTTACTATTTAAGTTATACTATTAGTTATATTTATTTTTATAATTAATTTTATGTAGAACTGCGACCAGTTAATTATTACAAATGAAACGAATACAGATAAATATTTAAAACTTCAAAATAATGTTGAGAATCTACTTTCTGCACCATTGCAAAATATTCTTAAGTGCAAAATTAAAAAAGTAATTAAAAAAGAATTTTAAAAAAATTGTGGATGAAGTTGAAAAGTTAGAGGTTTCAATTTTATTCTAAAATAATCCAGAAATTAACTCAGGATGCCAAATTTGTGTCAATTTTTGTACATGACAATCGTCGTATTTTCCCTCAAAACAGCTCTCTGATTTATCCTTATTATTTTCCTTAACCTTTCATTCCGTATCCAGGGTGACAAAACAGATATCTTTCTTCGTAAGAGATTTATTTTACTTTGTTTCATTTTCAGTCCTTAAGATGGTAATAGACTTGGAGCCGGATGAATATTTCAGAATTGATGAGACGGTGACTGGTCAAGTGGCCATTCACTCTCCTTGGAATATCCTCAACCCTTTCAGCGAAGGATTCTTACTGAAGCCAAGAAAAACATACGTCATACATCTCAAAGAGGCAATTATTTGATATTTATTTAAATTTATTTATTAAATTCATTCATTAAATTTACTCCACAATGAACTTTTGTCTTATTTTGATTGTTTATTTGAATTTGAGAAAAATCTTTTAATAACTAGATTCCCTTATATTAAGTAGTGAAATTTTTTACTGTGTTGCCATCTGGAACTTTATTTAAAATCTAGCAGGTGATACCAGCTTTTCTCGAGTAATATACTTAAATAGCGTGGAATTTTAAATCACATGCAATATTTTATTTCTTACTTTTTTGTGCAAATCTATAGAAAAGTTGCTGTTTTTCGATATTTTTTAAAATTATTTTATTTAACTAGTGGGCTGCGCCCTCTAACGCTCGCCAACCCCCGAAAATTGCAACGCAATCTTGTATGGTTTGCTTTGCAAATCAAGCTCGCTTCGCTCGCTACTAACTTAGGTACATTGCGAATGCACAAAATTCTAAGAATTCAAAACAATCATTCAAATCCATATAAAAACCTATTTTTTAAAAAATAAATTACATCTTTTTAGTAAATGCTAAGTCATTAAAATAAATTCGAAATCAAATAAATGACATGTAATTAACTAAACCTATTAGAAATGTGCTATAGTATAATTCGTGATATAAATCAAAAATCGTCAAATAAATTCGTAATATATAAATTCGTGAAAAAAAGCGCTTTTGGCAAAATACTAAAATAGAGATCTATCGACAAAGACTACTCACTTCTGCCTAGCTTAATAGTATGAGATTGCCGCAGCTGATGCTCTCTGGTTATTTCAGTTCCTGTTTTTAAAAGCGCTATATGTTGAGCCACCTCAACTAGATTTTTCATGTGACATTTTTAGCGGCAATCATTGGTCGATTCGCCGTGTAAGAGAAATAGTAACGTAAACAAAACAAAGCAAACGTTGCCACCGGCGGAAAAGAAATACAGCCAAAACTTGGGAGCCACGTAAGAGAATTATATATATTAGATTTGCTTTGTTTTGAGGGAATTTGATTTTCAACCTTCAAAATATGAGAATTAGATTCATTTTGAAACTTATGACCACATCAAAGCAGTCAAAATCGACGTCAAAAGTTTACCTCCTTCCATGGTCTTTTTTTCTTGACGTCAATCAATCTTATTTACCAAAAAATAACTTACAGCAAAATAATTATTATATACTATTATTATTGCAATATATATTTTATATACTATTTATTATATTCTTATAATAATTTTTAAGACTGAAGACCAAAGAATTTTATATTTATTCGTAATGTTAGATGGCAAAGTTTAAAAGTAAAACGAAATCAATTTTTTATTTGAATAGTTTTCCAGAAAGATAAGCTCTTCGCTCATTACTTCATGTTTCTGGCAAGCCATATGATTCTTCTTCTTTTTCTTACAGGACATAAAAAATCTTTTACCATATCCATATCAGACGAATTGCACAGATTATATAAAGACATGGCAGATTAGAGGTGGGAATGGACCACTATCAAAAGAAGTAATATATTACGAACTATTTATGATTATAAATGATGTGTCAGGCGTTACACTGATAAAAATTTTGGAGAAAATTATGCTAAGACATAGTTTGAGTTTGCAGAAGCCTTAATGTGGTACAAGTTGGAACATCGCAAAAATAATAAAATAATACTCAGTAAAACTGTTTGTTGAACGATATTATCTAAGCAATAAAAATGGCGGCAACTACTTTGCACCAAATGTGGTGAAGTGAAACATCGCAAATAATTCTTTGGTGTTTGGTGTAGTGAAGTATTTGAAATTTTGCTTTTCTTTTGATGTTAAGTGGTCGGGCCATCGTGGATTTTCAATAACGCTAACATTTTTATAACAGATATGTGCATGTACATATTAATATTATTAACAATAAGACAGATTCTTAGACTCATATGTGTATACAAAAGAGTTAATTATTTTCCCGTAACAATTTAGAGTATGAACGGTTAGTTTAGAATGCATACACAAACGCTAATTCTTAAAATTAAATTAGTTAATAAATCAAACATGCACATCGTACTGAGAGAATACAAAAGAAAAATTCGAATTAGGCTTAATGGAACATTAACTGATAGAAATAAAATATTATAAAATTATACATTTTACAAAATAAAGAAAAATATAAGTGTCTTTGTTACACAACTAAAACCAAAGGCGAACTTTCGCATGTGTTATAAACACACAGTTATTATAGATTGACAAAGCTTCAGCACTCAGTATTGCAGATGAATAGCACACAGATGTGCAGAACAACAGCTAACTCTTGGCGATTTCTTACTTGAATTCAGCAATCTACTGACCATATCCAAACTACGCCAAAATTGGTATTTTTGGAAATAATTCATGAAAAATGCGAATGCGCATGAGTTTGGTGAAAGCCGTAAACTGTGATTGCAATAATTCAATCACCCCTTTCCCTCTTTTATAATTAATTGTGATTATCTTATACTTTCTTTCTCTTACATTTTTATAAGTAAATTTGCAATTTGTTTTTCTTGTTAAAACATTAATGTGAGACTTTTGACTGTAGGTTCTAGCGACTTCCATTTTTTTTTTTAAACTTAAAATAAGAATAGCGATAGCGGTATAGTTTACATGCTGTGTCGACATTTTTACGTCATAAAACATAATCATGTTAATTACGCATTAAATTTATGATTTTTGTTTAAACAGATGTGCATTGAAGAGTGTATTTTAAATCAAACGATGGACAATTGCCAGTGTGTCTTAACTGAAAACTTGTATCCACACAATTTCAAGTTTTGTGGTGAAGGTAAGCATTATTTTAAAAACCAAAATTAAGTTCAATTTAAAGATGCTTCGCAATTAGAGCTATATCATCAAATACTTATGTATTTTAGTCAAGCTTTGCATGTATGCTGGGTTTAAAATGAAATTATAATGTTTATGCAATGTAATTGTTATGTTAATGAAGTTGGATGCTAATGATTATTATATGAATGATAATGTTTTAAAATAAAGTTATAAAAATATGCAACCTATACAACCTGTGAAACTTTTTATTTACACTCATTTTATACATTTTTTATTTATATACATTTCCATGAAATTATTTATTTATATATATATGCTCAATGCTGCAATGCGTTAATAAGAACATTGTTACGTTTTAAGCTCCATTATGTTTAAACAAATGGCTCAAAGTAAGTCTTTTTTTTATTTATTAGTTATTTTTATTTATTGCTTTTAGTTATTATTTTATTTAATAATAAGCGAAAAAACTTTGAATTGTTAGTTATTCGATTTTTACATCACTTTAAAAATTTAACTTTACAAAGCAAAACTAAAAATTTGTTCGAAATCGGCAGAATTATTCCTCAGAAATCGAATTTTAAAAAAGTCGTATTTTTATTCTATTATTCTTTAATATTCTTCAGCCAATTTTTGTTATTCACGTACCAAACTTCTAATCATTGTTGAACAGCCGACCCAATTTTTTTGGATTTATGACTACCAATGTTCAACTCCGTAGCCTTGTAATTTTGAACCTATCCAAAAAAAAAGGAAACTCCTGGATCAGTACCCCCAGAGGTATTGTTTTGTTATGGGAACATGGAGGACTTAGAAACTCGACACGTTTAATCTGCATCAGTCACCATTTACTACACGGGGAGTCTTCAGCCAGGTCGGTTCGAACCCACGAACTCTTGAACATGGGCCCAGTGCCCTACCAATCGGACTATCCCAGCTTACTTGCCAAATTTGTTATTCTAGAGTTAAACTCTGTTACATACTCGACAGCCCTAAATATTTGGTCGTCAATTGCGAGCTGCGGAGTAAAATTTCACTCCCCTCAAATGGTAAATAATTATCCGATAGACAGGGTGATAGTAAAATAAATCCAGACATTTAATTAAGTACTATGAAACTACTGGACATTAATAGACTTTTGTTTCTGGAAAACAGGTTGATACTGCTAAACATTTTTTACCAGAAATCTACTGGATGCTAGTATTATCTCTTGATGTTAGATACTATTAAATGCTAGTTAATCTTGTAGTTAAAATCTATTGAATGCTAATAAACCTTTGTTTTTTGAAACCTTTGTTCAATATAACTAAACATTTTTTGCAGGAAATCTACTGGGTACTACTATGTCTTTGTTACTAGAAAACTATTGTTGTTAGACAATTACTGTTTACAATTGCATCAATCGTCTGAAATATATATATATCAAACGCTGGAAAGAAATGTTTGGAATAATTACAAAATAAGATTTAGAAACATTTCAATTCAAGAACTTTAAAATAATCTAAAGAAAGTTTGTTTATTTAAAAAAAAATTAATAAAAAAATTAATTTAAATAAAATAAAGCAAAAAATAGTGCAAAATTTCTTTTGAAATAAATAATATTTTAAATCACGGTATACGTTCCATCCAAAATCTACGCCTCAATGTTAAAATAGTTCCGTTTAATGTAATAAAATTTATTATATAACAAAACATTTGACAGCACCTTCTATCTAATACGCTTAGCTATTAAATTTAAAAATTTTGATTTAATAATATTTTAGTAATGAAAGCCCCACACAGTTGGTATTATTTTAAGATCTCCCCATAAGTTTTCACGAATCGAGTGCTATTAATACAAATATTATAGTTCGGCTTCTTATCGCTTGGAACACATTTATTTTTGAATTAATACACTGTAAAAAGTGCAGACTAATATCTCTACGAATTTGATGTTCAACAGCCCAAAAAATTGCGATACGGAACGCTTTTTTATCTTAACCCAAAATTGAGCTTTCATGTATAATTTAAAGGGTGTTTGAAAGCTTTAAACACCAAGAATGCAAAAACTTACACCAAGATCAGGCGCCTTTACACCATACTTTAAATATTTGACTTTACAAAAATTCCAATGTTGGCGCGTTTCGATATCGTCTGAAAATACTTACAATCGATATCGAATTGGCGACCATTTGCGGTCATCTTCAATGTTGCTTTTCATCTACAGAAACTATGAATCACCACTAAATATATGTATGTATGTTTTTAATTGTGTAATAAGGCTATTTATATTTTAATTTTAAGTCTCTGTAAACTGCATTAAATAATTTTATAATGTGTAATTTCTATACACTACTGCTCTGCTAAGCCTAGATCGAATCCGTCTTAATATTTCTCCTGTATTACCCGTGCTTTTGATTTACAAACTAATTTTATTTTTGAAAATTAGTATATTTATGCAACCTAAATTAACGACTTTTATTTTGTATTGTCTCGTAAAAATAATTTTACTGATTATTATGTGTATCATATCTTAGGGCGCTTTTTCATTACACGACACGATAACGACAAAACGGATCCGATTGTCGGCGAACGACATAGAGTCAAGTAAAATACATGGTCAGCAACGGCGCGTTTTTTCATTCACCGATACGATAACGATTATGTCGTATCCGACAAGGCGATATCGTTTGTCGGAATCAAATGTTGGTTAGGCAAGTAAGTTTTTCCTCAAATCGTGGCGATTTTATTAGTTGTTGTGTTTCTTTCCTGTTTTATCTTCTCTTTTGATCATTATTTTATTCTTTTAATCAATTTTAATCGTTTATTTGATCATGTCAAATATAAAATTTGAAAATAAAAGATTTTTATAATTTATTCTCATGTCTGGTTATAAATTTTTAATTTTATGATGTAGCATTTTTTACATTATAATAATTTTGAAAGACTTCACAAAAGTCTTATTGAAAATTTTTATAAATTCATTATATGCTTTAATGAAGAGATAGTATTTTTTATAATGGTAATGGTTTGACAAGATGGCAAATAAAGACCTTATGTATTTCAAACAGAACTCTATCTAACTACTGGTTTCTGCTTGATTGAATAATAAAAAGTCTGTTCCCTGATTCAACTGAAACATTTTTTTGAAACATGATAGAGCGGCTTCATAAGATAAATTTGATAAAACTCATTTAAAAAATCATCTAAAAAGATTATTCTAAATTAAACTAATATTTTAATTCGATTAAAAAAACGTTAATACTTTGAAACATTTAAAGAATTTAAGTGATTACAGAATAAATTAGCGAGCAGACGCCATCTCAAAAGCCATGTAAAAATTATTCCTCATTAACATCACTCTTGTTCTTGGTTTCTCTTATTCGGACGTAATATAAAAAATTTATTTGGGACTTTTTGTAGCTTATGAAAAAGCACATAAAAATCTCATTCAACATATCTTGCCTCATTTATTTTGTGGGTACTTCAGCACCCACGAAATAAATGTTGCAGAAGTTGTGCTAATGCGCCAATAAAAAGCAATCCTGTTATTCGCACACAGCAACCCCGTTTTCGCACGCTGTTATCTTTTGGACTCCTTGTTGCCTTGTTTGCCGATTTCTGACGCCAATTTTTAGTGCTACGAAAATGCATCTTTGGGATTTTTCAAAAACAGAACAAGATGTAATTTTATTTTTTTAGTTGCGAAATATTTTATCCAAAAAAACGAAAATGTACCAATTCCCATGACATGAAACTTTATTTTGGTAAACGTACGTTTTGGAAATGTAATTTAAGACAGTCTGATCAGCAAGTGAGGCTTAGATGGTAGCACAATTTATTCCGACAGTTGGAAAGGTTATCAAAGAGAATAGAAGGATTCCTACTTACTAAGGTTTATCATAAATACAAATACCTTAGCAAGTAGGTATTTGCATACATTTTATTAATCCTGATACAGGAGTTCATAATACACAAACAGTTGAGAGAATAAGGGGCAGTGCTAAATGGTGGAACAAAATACATAGGGGGACAGCGAGACATCATTTGGAATCTTATTTATCAGAGTTCATATCTTCACTTTGAAACTAAACCATGGTAACTCAAAAAAGCAAGTTTCTCAAGAGAGCGATTTATAACTTTTCAGGAACTTCCTCCGCAGGTTGTCTCAAAGCTATGGTGACTACTACAAAATAGTTTACTTTAAAAAAAAACCTGTTTCTTTACATTTTTCAATGAACCAGGGCAGATTCTTGTAGCATTTCTAGTTTTGTGGTAATTTCGAAATAAGTTAAGGTACTTTGAGTTGCAACACTTTTCTCTAAAACTTTTATTAAATGTGGAGAGTTATTTCAAAATACAACGATATTCTTCAAAATATCCTCCCGAATATTACATATTTCATTTCAAATTTTGACGTACAACAGTGTAGGGAAAGAAATCGCTCTCCAGAAAAACTTGCTTTTTTGAGTTACCATGGTTTAGTTTCAAAGCGACGTTATCTCCTCCAAGGTTTTGTTGCAATTGGCACACTGCTACACTATTCCCTAAAACTAAGATGGCGAATCGCGCCAATGCGATTACGATTTATGTGCTCTCTAAATTAATTTTATGGAACTATGAAGATAGCACTTTGTTTCTCTAAAAGGGTGATTTTTTAACACAAAATGACTTAAATAATTCATTTTTCGATTTTTTTGAGTTACTACGGTTTAGTTTCAAAGCGACGATATGGCGACAGCATCTGATGAAAGAAAAGAGACTGTTTTTTTGAATATATGCAAAACTCTATAGCGGCCCATTTTCCACCGAAATTCGATTGACTACTTTGATTTTAAACAAAGTGTTTTGAATTTTTAGATTTTAAATAAAGTATTTTATTTCATGATTCGTCGCAAAAATTTTAGGTGTAGATTGGCGGCACTTAAAAGCCGCCAAATCTTTAGCTGCGGTAGCGTTAATACATAAGTACCATTTCGTGAACCCAAAAACGTTTCTGTACTGCTAGCTTTTTTCTTCTAAAATAAAGTAAGAAGTTTGAGACGACGAATATCATCCGGCATATTTAAAATTTGCAAAAAAAAATCACAGCAGAACACAAGCAACTGCTCATTCAAGCTCGAAACATTGAATGAACAAGAATTTCTACTTCTCGGACGAACGATATCGGACAAGTGAAAAAACAATTGCTTGAACGATCCGGCAACGACATTGTCGTTCACACATTTGTCGTCCGATTTTGTCGGTATCGTGTCGTGTAATGAAAAAGCGCCCTTACTGTAATTATAAATTGCAGCGTTACTGAATGATAAACATGGGGGTTGGTGGCGAATACTTTACACCAAGTAGTGTAAAAGAACATTCCAGGTGTTTCATTGCATCAGGAACTATCCTTGGATTTTGATGCAGTTGAACCTTTAGTGGAACACTATTTTGATGCAAAGTAGTTATCAGCATTTTAGTATTCAGATTCACAAAAATTTTTTACAATATTAACTAATCAATTTTTTTTTTAAGGCAGCGTCACATAAAACATTTTAAAATTTAGCAATTAAAATATGACATAATAAAAAAAAATTGTACATTTTTTTACCCCAAACCAAATGCAATAACTATTTTTTTTCCTTTTTTGCAGAAATGGACGATTGTCTTAACAGTATTAATTACACATTTTGTTATGTTAGATGCGCTCCTGCCTGTCAGTAAGTTTTAAATATTCTACTTTCCTCACATGTTTTAAAATAATCATAATAATTTAAAATAATCATAATAGTTTAAAATGCTCATACATATTTTAAAATAATATTATATCTTAAAACCGAATTCTGTTCGTGCAAATTGACTAAAAAATAATTTTTCTCGTCCCTTTTTTTTTATATAAATTATTGATCAGCTTATCTAAAGGCCGTTACTTAGCTATAATGGGAATTGCATGTTGGTTTGCAGGACCAAAAATTATTTAGGCAAAAGAAAAATCATGAAAAGTATAATCTAATATCATAAAAGTATCATAAAAGTATAATCTAATGCCTTTCAAATATGCTGGAAAATGAGACCGTAAGATTTGCTGGTGCTTCGTTGCCCGTTTAATTCATTCGCTCAAGATTTGATCTACAGAATTGAGATGATGAGTGTTTCAGCATTTTATTCACTGTCACCCTTACATTATTAATATTCTTTTGCATATGGTTATTTTGCATGACAATCGAGACAGTCTACGTATTCTCCCAGCGCAATGAAATTTGTTGCCATCTTTTGAGAAATAAGGGTATTAATAGCATACTCATCATGAAGATGTTGTCTGTTAGGCAATCTCTGATCTTCTAAAACAATGGTTGTTAATATTTTTTCGGCAATGGACGTAATCAGCATTCTTCTAGCAAAATCTTTACTTTATAATTAAAGTTCATAGCGAGCATGTTAACAAAAAAAACTAATAAGTATTCCAAAATTATAAAAATAGACATACTGATTCCTGGTAGTGTACACCTTAGGGCAGTGTTTCTTAACCTTTTTGATATAATGGACCCCTTTTAAAATTTTTTAAGAAGTCATGGACCACCCCCCTGTGAAAAAAATAATTGCAATAAACATCAATTATTAGAAAACAACATTTAATTTTATTATTTTAATAGTATAAAAAATTTTTTAAATTAAAATTTTTAATGTGAAGGTTGCTGCTGCTTTTCCTTAACTAATAAATTGAATTGGGGGATGGTTTTCGACAAAGCAACGTGCATATCATGTTCAACATTCAATCGATTTCGATGTTATGTTTTTATTGTCACTATGGTGGAAAATCCCGCTTCGCAAAGATATACTGTGGCAAACGGAATTATAGCTGCCATAGCTCGCTTTACAAGCAATGGGTAGGCTTTCAAACGTTTTAAAAATTAGTAGTCAGCGGACCCCCAAATTATAACTCATGGACCCCTTAGGAGTTCATGAGCCACAGGTTAAGAAATCCTCCCTTAGGGTGAGGGTTTAATCCATACTAAAAAAATATCATAAAATAGCAATAATGAAATAATGATAGAAAAATAATAATATTGTTTTTCTTTCAGTGATAGGAATTTTGATTACGATATAAAAGAGGAAGACGTAATGAAAGTAAGTTTTTTTTGTATTGGTTTTAAAAATTTTTTTACCTAGGAAGAGGAAATCTCGATATCGCTAACTTCACGCCAACAATACGAACATTTCAATAGTCAAATTGGCAGATTAGCTGTTTTGGCGAGGTATCGATAATATTAGCCATAGCGTGAATCATTAAATTTTTCCATAACTATAATGACCGATAACATTTTTTTTAAAAAAATTCCTCCAAGATCATTTTTACATTTTTTAAAACACTTTTTTGCATATTTTTAGTTAGTTTATTTTACACGTAGTTATTTAGTTAGTTTATTTAAACATAGTTAGTTGTACCCTCTGTCTTACCTGGTATCATCTTTGAGTGTTTATCCTTTTTAGAGAAACTTTGGTATACCTTAGAACATTTTTAATCTTAGAAGCCTTGAAAGGGGGACACTTGAACTTTTAGTCGACTATTTTAATTATTCTATTCTTATTTTAGTCTTATTTGTATTTAATGCGATTTTTCATATTTTTACCATTTGATGTTTTACCTGACCTTACTTTTATGTGTTTTTACCTGTATTTTTGACACTTTTACTGTTGGTTAATTTTAATCACTTAGATGTTTTAAGCACTTTTAATTTTTATTCTGTTTTATTTTTACCATCTTTTCGTTTTTGGGATTTTTCCTATGTGTATCAATCTTTTCAGTTTTGATTTTACTTTTCTGTAGTTTTGTTGTGTTTAGTTCACGTGACAACGGGTGAAATCCTTATCCGCAAACTCCTTCGGGGGTAGGTCGGTTACTATTAGTCTTACACATAGTTATTTTATAGATAGTTTGCTTTTAATGAATAAACGTATTAGATTTACACTATGGAAACCTTTACAGACACTATGGAAACCTTTACAGTGAATAATAATTTACATAAAGAGGATATTATTCAAGAAGTAAATATCGAGGTACAAAAGGTTATATGCCAATCAGAATTGTAAAATATCTAAAAGTCCTTTTAAACAATAAAATATTATTTCAATTCAAAAATTTAAAGAAAATATATAGAGATATCACAAACGGGTTGGTCGCTATGGCCTCCCGCCACGCGCCAACCAACCAAAATCACCCTAGTGATATTTTTCCTCCATTTGTTGCTGAGGGTGGCAACGGGTGACTGAGATTGGGCCATGTGTTTTAAAAATGTAACCAAGTTGTGTTTTTTTAGAAGGGAGATTAAACAAACTATCTCCTATAATTGTACGATGTATAAATTGTGTTTTAATATTTTTAATAAAGTCTTATAACTGAAGCTTTTAAAAGTGTTATAGAGAGAGAATTATTGATTGTTACGATTCTTATAAGCTAACTTTGCAAATTTTATTCTTAAAAGTTCATTTAAAGTGGTATTGGAGAACTTCAGAAAGTTTTATCACGATCTTTTTCATATTTGTTGCAATCTTTTTAAAACCATAAGTATAGTGCGCAAAATAAAATTAAAAAAAACCTGACCACTCAGATCTTCACGCTTTAGGACTCGATCTTGCAGGTTCGAGAGGGGAACCTCAAATATGCTAATTAATTAATCAGACCATATTTAAAATTGCGAAATCAAACGTAAAAACATACTCTTTCTGAACAAATTACATACCGATTTTTTTGACGGTTTCGTATTTCTGATCTCCAAAATATAGGAGGAATCAAGTAAACTGGGAAATATGATTCCAACAGTTAAAGGGCTGCGAATCCACAGTTTGAACCTCTTAATGTTAATTTTACTTTCTCCGCATTTCTCCATAACTTTTTAAGCAAATCAAAAAATTTTGTACATAATTATAAAATTCGTTTATTCAAATACAAATTACGTTTATTCAATACGAATTTTATCCAATTTTCTTTGCATTCACTATTTTTTTCCACACACAAAAAATAACTTTTAGTGAATGTTTATTATTTTATTTAATAATAATCGAGCTGAATTTTAAATATATTACTTTTTTTCAAATTTCTTTCTCTCACAGGAACTATTCGACCTATTTGGCTCAAATGTCGTATTTTGTCATTTAAAATTGCATTCATTAAAATGATGTAAAAAAGTGCAGACTTTATACATCAAAAATTATTCGACTATTATTAATTAAAATAATAAACATTTATTATATTTTTTTAGCGTAAATATCTTCAGATAAGCGAATTTTATAATTGAGTGCAAAAATGTTTCGATTCATTTAAGAAGTTCTTGAGATACAGAGAATACGCAAAAAATAATAATGACATTGAGACGTCCAAACTCTCCTGACCAAACGTTTTTAACCTTTTTCCCAGACTTCAGCTACCCCCTATATTTCATAGATCAGAAATACGAACACATCGAAAAAAAATGGAATGTTCATTCAGAAAAAATTCCTTTTTGTGTCTGATTTCGTAACTTGAAGCATCGTCTGCTCTAATTAATTAGTATATTTGAGGTCACTCCCTGGAACCAATATGATTAAGTCCTAAAACATGAAGATCCGATCATTTGATCAAAAGTTATTCTTCAGAATGTTATTTTTTTTTTATTTTGCGCATTTTGTACACACTAATTTAATTTAAAAAAAATAAATTAAAAATATTTTAAAAAAAAGACGTTTTCACTTCGAGAAAGATTTGGAAATAATGCGTCCGTTAAGGGTGAATTTTTTAATTATTTTTTATTTTTTTATTTTCAGGATACGAGGGTCGGGCATGCCGTTACGCATAACTGGTAAAATAATTTTCTTGCAAGCTCATGTAGGAATTATCAAATTTCTTTTATAAATTCTATTGTTAACTTTTGTGTTTCAGGAACAGAACGGCAATTCTTCTAATAATTTTCAAGAGAACAAATGTCAATGTATTCAGATACAGAGCGAAGTATGATGTAAGTTATTGAGTAGCGTGTAAAGGGCGTTTTTATTTTTATTGCTGCATGTTTAAACAAATTGGATTGTCGGTTTATTCAGCGAAATTCGTCACGAGATCATTTATAGAATGTTTCATATTTATAACTCTTAATATACATTTTTTAAAGTCCCTGTTTAAAATAAAGTCAAAGGAGTATCAGAAATACATATTAGAAGTTGAAAATTAACATTTAAGTAAGAAAAAATATATTCGCAATATCTGAATAATAATTATAGAGGATGACTGCTTTAGAGGCATCAAAATTTGTCAGCTTTTGATGTTTCATATGTTTTCATATGTTCATTTAGATTTTTCATGCGTTTTTATTTTTTCCACGCCTAAGTAATTTTCGTAACCTATAGGTTTATTTTTTTACTTCCTTTTGAAAAAGATACTAAAAATATAGGATAAGGGTGACAACTACAAATAATTCTTCAAACTTATGACATTTATATTTTAGTCCTTCATAAGTTGTTTAAGTCGTTGCATTTTTCTTCCTGTTTCTGGAATGATATACTCTAATCAAATCCACTTTGAATTTCTTTTTAAAGCTCATAATCTTACGAGAAATAATCTCAACCAAAAAATAATGTTTAATTCAGAAATAATCTTCCTTTTTTGTTTAATTATTAAATTATGTTTATACAAACGTATTTTTTTTAATGTTGAAACATTATTTATTTTCCTTTTATGGAAAACTACCTAACTATGAATGGCGAAATCTAAAATGAAATCGGTTAAATAATGAAAAAAATAGAAAATGAGGAAAAATATATAATTTTTTTTAAAAGTTTTTAATTTTTGAGAACTATTAAATCTACTATGAGGAAAAAAAGTGTACAATAAGAACTAAAAGAATAAGGGGACATTTAGATTGCATGTTTCTAGATTTTTGGGAACACTAAAATACTCGGTAATTTTTACCGAATTGCTTTTTTATTGATTTTACAAAATTAACAATGTAATATGTTTTAATAATATGGGATAAAATTTAGTAATTTTACCATGATACCACAGAGCATGGCAATATTCAGTTAAATTTACTTTTCAGTTTTGTATTTTTTACTAAATGTGTGATACTATAATTATACATACATATATAAACTATAATTGTGATTACCAGAATTTCAGGTAAACCATTACCATATGAACGATAAAATTACCAATATCGTATATTTTTGTTTTAAAAAGCATTCCCGCCACAGCCCATTGTGAGTCAGGGAGCCAAGACTCTACGATTTCGTAACCAACGGTATGATTGTGGCAATGTGGTTAGCACTGCACACTGACCACCTTTACTTCCCAGAAAGGCTGGTTTCCATTTATCTGAAGTTGGGTAGGGTTCAAGCAGTCACTAGGAATCAATCGAATCCTAGCTCTTCACACTGACAGTTCAATGCTTAAATCACTGAGTCATTGCTGCTCTTAAATACGAAATAAGGAAAATACGTTTTGTTTCTAATTTTATAATTTGCCTATCGTGTTTCTTTTAAATATTATTGTATCTGACTGCATCAAAGTTGATCAGATTCTGAATGTAATAAAAATATTCAACCTTATTTTAATGCAGATATTCAAACGTGATAAGATGCAGTTATTATACCTTTTATAGTGCAGATATTCTAAATGATATATTGTAAATACTCCTTTAGGATATTTATATAAATTGCAGTAAATTGTAATAATTGCAGATATTTACTCCGTAAATTGCAGATATTTTGCCTGCTATAGTGCCAATATCCAATCCTGGTTACATGCACAGATTAAATCTTCTTATAATGCAAATGCTCAGCCGTGGGGAGCTGTTGAAATATTACATTTAAATATTACGGGTTTGTGTTTTGCTTATTTTGGTGACAATTGAGAAAAGGGGTATGTACAATGCCTTGTGTAAAACATTAAAATCCCCTTATTTCCATTTTTTTAAAAAAAACTTAATAAAAAATATACAAATGCAAAATTTTAAAATTTTTTATGAAAATTGAATTCGGACGGATTCGGTGTTTCAGAAGTCAAAAATTTTGAACGCGGAAAGAAAACAAAAAAGTTTATAAACTGATAAAGCGTAAATTTTGCTACATCTTTTATTTAAATTTAAACGTAAATTGCACTATGATAGAAAACTTTTTTACGTAAACATTGATTGGGTTTGTGATTCGCTTATTTTTTGCTGACAATAGGCGAGTTTAAAATTACCAAACGATTTTAACCAGGATATTAAATCCGGTCATAAGGCAGATATTGAATAATATTGTATCGCAGACATTGAATCCTTGTCTAGTGCAGACATTCAATCCTATTTTAATGCAGATGTCATACGCTGTAACAATGTAGATATTTAATATTCTTGATATTCATTTAGCTTTTCTTAATCTTTCTAGAGCATTGAGTTATTCAGTTTTCTAGGAGGTTTCATCGGGATATGGCTCGGAGTTTCGTTAATTGCTCTGCTGGACTTCTTAGAATCATTAAGTACTCTCATTGTGTATGTGTTTGATCGTTTCAAAAACAAGCACAAGATAACGAACATTCAATCAGCAATAGGTTCTAGAATTCGCAGCAATTCTACATTCTCTACTGATTCCATGCCATGGGCTAAGGATGCTAAAGAGCACCCTCGCCATCTCGGCGTAAATGTTCGTAAGGTTACTAATGGACACTACTGAAGAATGTCATAAATGGGTGATTCTCATGAAACATGACATTCACTGCCCCTTGCTCCAAGATCTAATACTATAATACTAAAAGAACATTTTTTTAAAAAAATTAATAAATAGCATTGCTGTTAGCATTTTAAAATGACTTTGCACTAGCTTTGACTGCTTTGTATACTTAAAAAATTTAATTGAATATCAAAATGTCATTTTCCTGGCATGTCCCAAACAATATTTCCAATAATAACTAGCTTCAAAACTTCCCATACATTTTTCAAAATCTAATTTTTTTTATCTTATCCTATGTAAGCATTTCTAGAATATACGCAAAGGGTATTGTTTACTAAAACTTCGTTTAAAATAATTTTTTCAGTCAATAATTTGTTTGTCCCATGAAAATCTGTCATTTTCCTGGCTACTTTTATTTAGTGATTTATAACCAAAATAGATAGCGCCAGGAATCAATATCTTATGTTAATAGATTGATTAGATACCCTCCTATCTGAACATGTCTTGTTGCATGAATAAAGAACCAATTTTCTGGCTCAAAATCTATTTCAAAAAATTTTTCAAGGTGAGTAGGTTTTTATGCTGTCATTTTCCTGGCTTCTTGAAATCATTAATAACAAAAACTACATAGATTTATCTGAGTTATTTTAAGAAATACTGTTGTTTTCTGCAGAATATAAACGTCTTCGGCCAAAATATTAAATTAAAGTAAAGTTATATGCTATAAAATGGCGAATTTGTCATTATCCTGGCTGTCATTTTCCTGGCTTATGAATGCCAGGACATTGAAGTGTTACCAGAAATTCTTTTTAACTGCTAATACTGTAAAGAGGGAAAGCAAATATTAACCTAATACCAAGTTTATGTATGATTGTAATATGCTTGGATGTAATCAAAGTTATTTATTTATTTAATGATTGATTATTATACGCAATTTTATTCTGCACATATCAGCAACAAAAATGTTTTTGCTTCTTTCTACAGTGGATAAAAAGAATTAATTTAAGCAATTTATGGTCCATCTAGCATAAAGGCTTAAATTGAGTTGCTCACTATTAACTTAAAATTACTGTTTTTTAAACTTCTAAGGTAATATGTCATTTTTCTGGCATTCAAGATTTGGTGAATTTCTATTTTATTTTTTTTTCTCGAGCTTCTAAACTACACTGCTGTTTATAAGACATTAATAAGTGTAGCTAAAGAAGCATACAAAAAATTTTTTAGATTATTTTGAAGACTTTAAATTTGAAGAAATTGTTTGGTCCGAATTGTCATGTTTCGTGAATCACCTAAATATCAACTCATTTTATTGGTTTCTTGTAGATTATCATTGTATGTATTAACTTTTTGATGCAGATGGGACACCGGAATCCCTTTTATGTAATTTTTTTCTAACGCTCTAATTACAAGCGAAAAAATATTTTTGGTATTATTTAATTATAAAAAATTGTCTATTAGTTACTAAAAAAGTTTGTTAGATTATCTGAATTATATTTGTACTAAACTATAAAATTTAAAAAAAGTAGTTAGAAATTTTTTTTCCATTCTTATTCAAAAATGTTTAAATAATTACTTCATAAAATAAATTTTTTTTAATGATGACTAACTGTTTTTCTTAACTCTAAATAGCCAAAAAATAAGATCAAATTAAAAAAATTATTTGGCAATGATCTGTGTTTGGAAGGTTTCACCTTTAACGCAGAAAAGCGACCGATTTACCTGCCGCATTTCCCAACCATACATTATTATAATGTTAAATGTAATATTCTTTTCTCATTTTGAACTAAAATATACAAAATAATTAAAAAAGTATGTCAAATAAATCTTCTGCGTCTAAGGGTTTTAGTATATGTAATTGTTTTTAATCTATAAAGAAAAAAAATGCTTTTAAAATCGTTGAATAAAAGTTTTGTTTTCGTAAATATCTATATCTATTTATATAATTTAATAAGGTAACTTTTAAGTAAAATATTTTTAAAAATACTTGAAAATATAATTTTCCATTTAGCAAGAGCATTTCAAAAATATTATCAGAGCAATTAGAAATGATACTACACACATAGCTTCTTTAATGAAATAAAAAGTATTCAGTAGATTACACAATACATTAAAATTTGTATGCAATGCAATTTGTATCAATTGTAAAATTTGTATTAGGCAAGAGTTTTTCAAACTGGTGAAATTCAGAAACTTTTGTAATGTAAAAAATGAAATAAACTATAAAATATTTATTACGCTATTCTTGTCTGCTGATTCAATACTTCGATATTTTCATTTAATGATTTTTAAATTTATTATATACTTTGAATTTTTAATTGTTATGCACTTGCTGTTATACAACACTTGTACTTGTGATATTTCAATTACTTTAATATAAAAAGTCCCTTAAAAAAACTACTTTCAAATTAAACGTCAACTGACAGAAAATTTGCATGCTGTGATTTTTCTTAAAAATTAACCAATTTTTTGAACAGTGTAGTATATTGTTTATTGTAAATAGAATTTATGAAAAACATGCAATCAAGAATTTAAAAAAATTTTTTTTGCAGTAAGAAACTGAAATATATTTTATTACATGTTAGGAAATGCCTGTGTAAGGGTCAAGGAAGTGGCCTGGATGTTCTTTCATTCTCTGTGCTATCTGTCCTTACTGTGGGAGCAATGTTGGCCCACCTAATATGGTTCCCCCGAAAAAGTGGCCAACAAATCTGCACTTCAGATGCCTGTATGATGAGAGGTCATTCCCCAAGTGGACATTGGAGAAAAAAAAACATGGGAGGAAATTAAAAATTTATTTATTAAGTAACTGACCATTGAAAAAGGGGGAAGGGAAAAAAAACAAGATACTTTTTTCCTGTTTTAACAAACAGAAATTTATGTTTAATTAGAAAACTATGAAACAACAATAAATGAAATAGTCACGTGACTAGTATTGTGGAATTGTTAAATTTAATTCTAACCATAATGTTTAATTGCAAAAATAATTTATTGTTAAGAATAAAAAACAAAAACGATGGTACCATACTCTCAGAAGGAAAAAATGAATTAATGTCGCACCTTAATATCGGCATATTGAACCATAGTATTATGTAATATTTTTGCAACCTTACGTTAACTCAAAAAATTTTACGATTAAGTAGTTGAATTAACATTGCGTAACTAAATTTAGGTTGATTAAAAAAAATTTAAAATTTATAAAATGAAATTTTCAATTGTAATTTAACTACCTAAGCATCCCACGCAAGAAGGAAGAAAAAAAAAGATAAATGTCGAGGGGGGGGGGGGGGGGGAAANGGGGGGGGGGGGGGAGTGGAAACTTGAAATTATATCATCGATTATAAAGGCCATATGTTTTATACGAAAAACATAAAAAACTGTATTAAATATTACAATCCATAAATACAGCACAATAAAAAGTTCAAAACAGATTAAATAGATACAATTTAATATTCACAACATACACATATTATATACATAATAGGAAAAATACAAATACATAACAGATAAAAATGTACCCATATCAGGAATATAAAAAGGACATATATCAATGTGTATATACACAGATACCTATATGAGATATAAAATGTTGTATAGATTAGAATGTATTTAATTGATGGAAAAAAATAATGTACAAAGAGAAAGGAAAAAAGAAGCTTTTTTTGGCAAAAACTTACTGGAATAATATGCTACAACCAGAATAATAATTCATTGTAGTAATTCATTGCAGTAAAGGAAAGAATAAATTTTTTTTAACATTTCGATTAAGAAAAGTACATAGCAAACATTATAAATAGCAACCGTATTACAACGCAAAACTCTTAGATATAGGTGTTGTAACACTTTTATTGAGATAAGAACTTTTGCCTAAATTTCGTTCTTGTTTCAAGTTTATTAGTTTAGTGATATCTTCAGCACTTAAGAATCCTTCAAGACACTGGTATCGAAGTTTTGTGCTTTTTAACCAATTTCTTATATGATGTTTTCATAAACAAAATCTTCATTTCCTTTAAAAATTTGAGCGATTTTTTTTTCAGATGGAAATATGTCATTTATTTTCCATGTAAATCAAATTTTGTCTTTGTAATAGGGCGTTGATAAAAATTATGCATGAGAATAGTATCTGTCTTCATTGATTTAATATGAGTGTTCATCATCTTCAGATATATGAAAAGACTTTATCATTATCTCAACTATTTCACTCTAATAAAGCATATTAAAGCTAAAACCGATACCCCGTATAGTTTGTTTTTCTGTAATATCAATAGCATCATGAACCACAGATCGATAAAGTTTGTGTCCATATATATTTATATCGGCTATTTCTGTCCATAGAAGATTTTCAAACACCTGGTTCTAATATCCAAAAAATAGCCCTTTCATAAAAATGAGATGAAATGTTTGATTAAACAATTGCATCAGAAAACTAATGTAATTAATTGCTATTGTATTGTATGAATTTTGTAATCTTTGTTTCCTTGAGATCAAATTCCCACTAAATAACCACTGAACTGTGAACCATCCAGGAAAGTGAGATCAGAATTTGAAGCGTTGTCCACAAATACAGAAACGTACTGATTTACCTGAAAACAAATAAGAACGTTTTCAATTAAGAGAAACATTCATAGAACAAATATTATTTACAGAATGTTCCGTAAATATTACCCTTTATACAGGAATATTTTCAGATTCCTTATCAAAATTGAAATCCATACAGTATACAGATTGAGGATTGCTAATCAATATTTAAGTGAAGAAAAGACAAAATTACTATCGATGTAAGTTGATTCCGTAGAAAGGACTGAAAGCCAAAACATCAAAATCCGTTCCATTGTCAAATGAAACTTGGTGTTATATTTCTAATTTCTCATCTTTCTATTCATCTCTATTTCCTCAGTAGTGATTCGTTAAATTTTAAAACTTTTTTTCCTCGTTTAAATATTGATTAAGGACCAGTAATATGCATACGATTTCGGTTTGCGCAGAGCCCACGTACTTGAGCATGCTGCATGTAACCCGAGATAGCAAAATCTTTCTAATAAGGGCAGTAAGTACGGAACACCCTGTATGTGTGTTTATTAATTATCAATGCAATTTATTTTGCAAAACTCACTTTTAAGTGTAATAGACCATTCACCGTAACCGTCATCATACTACCTGGACCGAGACCCGAAACAGTTTCTAAAGATCTGTAATTGAAAAAGAAAAAAATTGTATTCGTTAGACTTACATTAAGTAAAATAAAATAAAAATAAAAACTGTTTTTGTAACAGAAAACTATTTTCAGCTTACGTCTTCTCCTGCAAGGAGGAATCAATGCATATCTGTACAGAGAACAAGTCGCTTCTGACAACTTTTGTTTCTGGCAAACGGATATGCATCCTTGCGTTAAATGTGTAGAATCCGGTCCTGGGAGCGAAAAATCTACCACTATCAGCATCCGACTTACCAGAATCTCTGCCATATGCTCCTGGTTTAGATGCCTGTAAAGATCATGAATTAATTTTAGGAAACAATAACTATTTTGTTAACAGCGGCAAAACGCAGCTACTCCTAGGGGCAGTTCAATTATTACGTAAGCATGCTTTTAGCAATTTTAAAAAAACCCTGCCCCTTGTCAAAAAAATAAGCAGATCACAAACACCACTCCAAACTGCAATACGCTGAAAAATTATTAGATCAAATTAGAGTAAAAAGTGCCGCCACTCGGGATGCAGGTAATTTTTACTGCAGAATTCATTTTCACCATACAATTTTACAGATCAGAAAAACCTGATATATCGTAATTTTTACAGTAGTGCATATTGTAAAATCACTGGTTCACTCTAATTAAAAAAGATTCCTGTGAAAATTACGATATGAAATTTTACCGTAAAAATGGATTTTGCGGAGAAATGTTTTTAATATATGAGACACACAAGATGGCAGTACTTTTTATCGTAATTTGATCCGGAATTTTTTACAGTGTACTTTTTTTTCTCCAGGGCCGAATGTAAGACGGAAAAAATAACTGGTGGAACTGCGATTTTATTTATAGCTGGTTTGCGTGAGGTCTAATTTAAGCTCTTACTATTATAAAACTTACTATTATAAACTATATTCATCGCTATTCGCTTTTTCTCTAGTAAAAAAAACAGTCTATATTTGTTACGACTGTTAAAAAATTCTTAGTAATCATGAATGTTTCAGTAAGCCATCTCGAAAACAATCTATAATGAAGTGGTTTTTGCTTGTTTCCGTCGTTGAATATATAAGCTTTCAACGTTATAGCCCCTTATTTCTGTTTTAACTCTGACTTTGAACCTAGTAATTTAATTTTATGACTGAAATCAAGCAAACTGACTTTGCCTGAAATAAAATGCAGGTCTCTTGCCTGTGAAACTCTAAGAACTACCAATTTTTTTCTGGTAACGGTTATTTCTTTTCCTTTTTTTCTGTCTTTCTTCACATTTAAAAATAATGTGATTTTTATGTTTTGCGTAAGCATTGCTAATATTCTTCCTCCCTCTTGACAGCAAAAATAAGCAAATTCAACCTCCCCCCCCCCCTCGCTGTTTGGTGCTTACATAATATTTGAACTTCAAAGTAAAGAATTCTGGAAAATTTGAAAGTAAAGATTACTGTAAAATGTTGACTGTAACATACTACTAAGTCTTTACTACAAATAAAATTACAATAAATTAGAAAAATAGTCCAGATTAAGGGAGGACCATGGCTAGCATTCAAGTTATCCCTTACTACGACGTCACTGCAATGAGGAATGATACAGGGATTAGCTCCCTACATTTGTTAACAAGGTTTTCTACCCTATGAAAATTTTCGAATTAAATTTACGTAAAAAAGTACTGGCACCTTCAGTGTGGCAATCGTAAAATTCACTTTACAACAAAATCCATTTTTACCGTAGAATTATGTACCATAATTTTTACAGAAATATTTATTTAGTTATGGTGATTGTTGTTGTTGTAGTCAGCCATTTAGGCAGAGGGGGTGCGATTGTTCTTGCTTTCCAGTGGCGCCATCTATGGTCAAGAATTCGACTTCTGCCACACCCATGCGTCACACTCGCTTATAGGGTGGTTCCATTCATTCACATATCGTAATTTTGACCTGAACCAGAGAACAATCAATCTCCAAGTCAGTACCCTCAGAGGTATTGAATTGTAGTGGGAACATTGAGGACTTTGTGACTTTCCAGATTTAACGTGCACCAGAGTCACCACTTACTACACTGGGAGTACAGTAAAATAGTGGTTGATGGAGGTTGGTCGTTCTCAGGGGTTATCTCCATAATATTATCAGTGGTACATGATCAGTGTCCTTTCATGATCAGTGTCCCAGTTAGTCAGTGTCCTTTCCCATGGTGCGGAAATGGCACTTGTGTTGTCATCATGAAAACCGGATCGTTGAATAAAACTTAGAGCCAATAGAAATGATCCCTACTGATATAATTATGAGTAAAAACAAATTTACCAATTATGAATGATAGAACTATTTCAAATAAATGCACAATTATGTTTTTTGTTTAAGTGTACAATTAATTTTATATCATAAAAACGAGTTAGCTTTTAAAAAATGAAAATAATTTTTTTTTTTGAGATGCTTAGTTTCTTCTTTAAAATAACTTTTTTTTCCCTTTAACTTTCAGCTCTAAAAATAAATCATTGATAGAATCGTCTGTATTGCACTTTGACTGCAATATGAGATAGGAGATCTCTTTCAGAGATTGTCAAAAAGAGCACAAATCTCTAATAAATTAATAATAATCTAACTAAGAATCTCACACAAATATTTTGAATGCATTTTAACCAACTTATTTGTTTTGTTAATATTTTTTGTTTTGATATTTTTTAATGCCTCCTTATCAGACCTTAACCGCATTTCGTCCAGAGGTTCGCTTGGATGCTGGGAGAGGAAGTTGCTATAGTAAATAGAGGAAGTTGCTATAGTTTGTCTAAAGTAAGAACTCCCCTATCCATTCGTCTGGACCGGCGGCTATGACTATGATAACGAGGTATAACTATTTCAAGTAGGAATGCGGGATCATTGTTTGGGACAGATTTTGGCTTGGGTCGGCGAGAAAAAGAGAATATATTTTTCTTTGGTCTGTTGTGTTTGCCTTGAAATGTACTATTCTTGTTTCCATAGCAGCAGACGGTTTCAGACTTTATGGCAGGGAGTGTTCTTACAGTAGACAAACTATGCATATAAGTGAGCTTTCCTACATGTATAGTTTCACTATATATAGCTTTATTTGAGCTCTTTTCATTAAATATTATTTATTTACATAATTTACGAAGTTAACAACTTTAAAATGTCACAATTGAGAGAAAAAAGGTAATAATTCTTACTGATTTAAACATATCCAGTTCTACTTTAGCATGTTTTGGTACAAGAATGTATCGTTTCAAATCCCACATGAAAGAACTGATGACTTTCGGCAAAAATAAATCATTTTCTTCCTTTAATAAAGCCCACCTGTCGACAGGTTCACTGTCATTTGCTCCCAAGGTGGACACACACAACTCTGTACACTGCAAAATGAATTTTTTTTTAGAAAAATTACTGAAATAAATTGGGCAATACCAATAAAGTTTAGAAGTATAGGGTGATCATAACCAAAGGCGAAACTTTAATTATGTACCCCATCAATTTAATGATAAAAGTTAAGTTTTAATTGTAAGGAAAACTATTAAATAAACTATCTAGTAGTTCTTATATCAAAAAAAGTATTGCAGGAAATTTTAAACATCCACTTATAACATTTTTCATGCATCAGTTTCATAAACTGAAATTTATTGGATATTAAAATTTACCAGACAAAAATGAAAAGAAATAAAATTGTATTAGATTTCTATATTTTGCAAAAACGAAATTTTTTTTTTATATGATGTACTTCATAAACATTCCTGTAAATGTTTGTAATCATTATATTTGCCAACCACAAACCATACATTTACAACCGAATTTACAGTTGATGCAAACGAACGATTTATCTAACAATTGATCCAGGATAGATATTAGAGCATTAGTCACTCATAGGAGCTGAGACATAGGAGCTGAGACATAGTTAGACATAGGAGCTGAATATTAATCTTGTTGAGGTACACTTTTAATATAATACTCATTAAACATGTAACAACTACAATTCATCATTTGGTGAACTAAATTTCAGATTCATTATTTTTTCCATACATCGATGACGACGTTAAATCATGACTTCGAATACAGATGTTAAATCATGAAGTAAATTTAACAGAATAAATAATTTTATACCATGCTTTAAGACATCAATTCTCAAATTTTACCATATTTATCAAATTTTACCATATATTATCAAACCATATTTTATTGTTAATTTCACCAAAGATAATTATTGTTTTTTACAGTTATCAAAGCGCTTCGGTAAAAATTACCGAGCTTCTTGATATTCCCAGGAGGCCAGAAACACGGTAAATTTTACCATATTTAGGTAATTTCGATTTGATCATACTTTTTTACTCAGTGTGGAACTGGTTTATCAGAGGGATGTCTGCTGGAATACCAAGGATTACACACAGTTTGCACAAAAAATGTAGTGAATGTGTGCATCATTAAGTGTGTTAATCGCCTTAGCACACTGCGCAAAAAAATAAATAAGTAAATAAATTAGCATGAATAATTCTGAACTTCAATGGTTCGAGGGCTAGAATTCTAGCATAGTTTTAACAATAAGAATAAATTACAACAATAATTAACTAAAACAAGAATTAATTATAATAAGAATAAATTATAATTATTTTAATATTTAATAATTAAAAAAATATTTTTCTCATATCATACCCTAGGATCAGCTGCACGAAGAATTTTCTGCTTTGTCATGTCTTAAAAAAAAAAAAAAAAAAAAAAAAAAAAAAAAAAAAACATTGTAATAAGATTTTATATTCAATAATCACAAAAACAGTAAATTTAGACAATGCTGTTAATTTTTAAAAAAAAAATTAAATGCATGTTTAATAAATTAGAAATTAATTATATTTACCATTTATTAGCGATCGGAACTCTTCAAACATTTCTTCTGCTGTTACATTAGCACCTTTAGGACCTCGTGGCCCCATTGGCCCTCTAGGTCCTGGCAAGCCTACAGATGGTCTCTAAAATTATAAAGTTGTAATATATTATAAAATGTTTGCTTTGGACATGTTTCAAAAACATGTTTCATGAAAACGTGTTTCATAAATATTTTATAAAAATAGGATTCTTAAATAACTCATAAAAGAGGAAACTAGTGGGAAAATTTTTTCTTGAAAATAAAAGTTCATTATTCCCTCAAAATGATAAATAAAAATAATAATAAATATGAATAAATAAATGAAAACAATTACTTTGAAAATGTTTTACAGTTCATTTTCATGAAATTGTATTTCCTGATCCATTTGAGCAGCTGACCAACATCAAGTTTAAATCATCATTCATTTCAATAATCATTTAAATCATTGCTCATGATTTAAACATACTGTTTTAGCTTTAATTCTTCAGAAAAATTCAAGAAAATAATAATAAAGAAAAAAAAACGGAGCAAAAAAAATACTACCGAAGGTCATAGTTGATTAAATTTTCCTCATCTTTATTTTGCATTTCAATCAATCTGTTTCTAATGTTCATGAAGATAAAATTAAAACCTCAAGAAAAGCGCCTAATTTATACTTTTTACTATCCATTCTGTCCCCAATGTGAAGTTAATGTCCTTTTTTATACCAAGAGGAAAAATTATTTCATCTTGAATATGTTCGAAGCATTAATTATTTTACTTTTTATGTAATTTAATTTTTAGTCTCGTGATAGTACACAAATGTTTCAAATATCAATTTTTATTTTCTTTAAATTTATTCAAAGCAATTTTAAGTATGAATGTTTTTTTTTTAAAAAAATACTACATACACATGCAATAACAAGTTTAACCAGCTTGCAGGATTTTATTAGTGTATCAGTGTGCTATTATTAACCTCAAATTGCTTGCAAAACACCGATCTTATCGCGAAGAAACTTTTCATTTCCCACTGTCCGATAGTCTGAGTTGTAAGTAATTATTTTCGGCTGGCTCAGAGTTGATATAATTCGAAACAACGTAGTGAATTTCTTGGAGAAGAATGCACAATCTCCGTAATTTCTAACATCTGACTTGTATTTTGTACTTTTCTCCTCTTTGTTTCCTGAGGTTTTAGTTTTTATTAGATCAACGCTAGTTTTGCATGGTAAGTTATTATTTTACTTTCTTATACTCCTCTGCTTGACCAAATTATTAGACGCACTGTAAGATTCTATGTAAAATCTTAATTATCAGATGATACTATACAGCATTACTGTTTTTACGCAACTGAAACCGGTTTGCACTTATTTACGTTTGGGTATCAATTGGTTAAATTAGACGATATATAATATAAATTCGACGATTCGATAAATTAGACGATACATTATATAAATATTGAATATTTATTATACAAGGTACTATATTAGTATATTATAATAATTAGTTCAAATTATTAGACTCACTGTAGTGATTTAATAATTACATGTTTTGCATGATTTTATATGCAATACTTTTATCTTTAAATATACATGTAACGGGCTTTTATTTAGGATATTTTTTATACTCTTCTTATTTGTATTTATTTTTGACCCATTGCGTTACTATGATAACCAATTAAAACACGAACGTAAACAAGTGTAAACAAACCGGTTTCAGCCACGGAAAAACAATAATGCTGTATAGTAACAACTGATAATTAAGATTTTACATAGAATCTTATAGTGCGTCTAATAATTTGGCTAGGGACTGTAGTGGTGACCAAATATGATTCCGTCAAGTGTAGTGTTTTTGGAATGGGAGGAGGGCAAAATTTCGGCAATTCGTAAAATGCTTCCCTTTCCGTTCACCTCTCAATGCCTTTTTGCATAACTAGATCAACGTTGCACCAATGCATCGCAGATATGAATGTCTTTGTTTTTCATATAAATGCTTTTTAATGGCAAAACTTATATAGCCTAGCGCTAATACAGCCATTTCTTTATTACCTGCATATTGAAAGTTCTAGTCATCATTTTTCGTTGCGCTTTCTTCTCTCTTCTTACTTTCCGTTCGTTTTCTTGGACTGCATTCTGGAAATATTTCCATGTATCCTTAGAACTTAATGAGGTAATTCCTTCCTATAATATCAATAAGAAGCATTATGGCAACATCAATGTGTATTTGTGTAAAATTATTTCATTAATTAGGACGAAGATAAGTTAAACTGTTTTAAATTGATTTTATTGTAAGAATTTAAATAACTATTAAAAATTTCAGTTTGGTTTAAATTAATGGTGTTAGTTTTATTTCCACAGAGAAAAAATGCAAGGCAACAATACATACACATACAATAACAAATGCATATATTGATCTGCTTGCAGTATTTTCTGTATCAGTGTGCATCATTATTAACCTCAAATTGTGTCTGTTCCAGGACAGGAAGCTTTTGGAGTTCGCTTGAAGCTGTTTTGATAATGTCGTTCGAAAACAAACTGAAAAGTTCAATCGGTTTTCACCTTAAGAGAAAAGTGGTGATATTCTTTCCGTCTTCGAAAATATGAACTGAATTAATCGAAAAAGTAACAGTTAAACGAATAACAACCATTAAACGATAAACTTCTCAAAAGTTGAAGAAATTCGGAGTGGGCTCCAAAAGCTCAGGCTTGTGGACCCATTGTTTACAACAACAAGTTGTCGGGACAAATGCGCTGTTGAACTTAATAAAGGGGTAAATGTGTTATTTAAATTTTCCTTATAGTTCTTTTATAATTCAAATTGTTCCTAATTTTCTTGAAAATGAAATAAAAAATTCCTTGATTTAATGTGTAACAAACGATCTACAGTTAATTTTATTAAAGAAAGATTGTAATTTTAACAAAAAATCAATTGTAAAATTTGCATAAATGACAGCATTCTTAAGAGTAGTTGTGGAGACGGATAATGCATAGTAGTTCGAGTAGTACTTCACAAAAGCAGATTTTACGAATAAAAGCATTCAAAACTATAATTAATAGTTTAAATTAGAACAATCAAGAGAATTAGTTCAAATTTGACGTTGTAATCGGATGCACTACGATATTTTATCTATAGATAGATAGATACAGTCGTGAAATATTTTGAAGTATTAAATCTTATGAGCTTTATAATTTTTTTTTTACATGACATAAAAATTCTTATTAAATGAAAAATGTTTAGTAATGCAAATAAACCAGCATAACTTAAACTTCTGTTGAGTACTTGCAACTCGTGAAGTGATAGTGCCTGACGTTGTGATTTTAATTAGATTTCATTGGACTTCTGTAAGCGACGTCACGCATGTTTGTCGAACCTGATTGGTTTCTGAATCGCAAATGCCATGATTTATCTACGATGACGTTACTTGCAAATATCCAATTTGTTACATATCGCTTGCAAAAGTAAAATGAGTCTGTTATTATTCTGAAAAGAAATAGGAATATTTTCTTTTAGATAAAATGTCAAGGTGGCATCAATTTGCCTCAAACATCGAATTCCATTATTTCGACAATCGAAATGTTTAATCTGAAAAATCGTTTGCCCAATTACAATATTAATAGCAGATAAACTTAAACTACTTAAATAAATGTACCCAAACGACTTTTTAAAATTCTTTGAGCTATAAGAAAAAAATAATTTGTTTTTCTTTAAATGTAGCATAATAGGTTTGTCTAGACAGATATACACAATAATAGTGTTCTCTTCTTAATTTTATTCAATTATATCTTGTGAAATAAATGATCAAGTTAGACTACGTTTCTAAAAATTATTTGTAGCAGGTAAGTCTTCCATGCTTTGATTTTTTTTCGATTTTAAATTTCCTTCATGTAATGATTGGTTTAATCACAATTGTAACTATACTTTTTTCCGAATGCTGTCTACGTTTTTATGATTATTTCCTGCTTCTGTTTAAAAAGAACTAAGTTTAAGGAATAGTTTGTTCCTTTTAATTTTAAACAATAATCGACCTACGTATCACAGTTTAAATGTATCGTATTAAGAATGGTTGCTTTAAATTAAAATTAACATCTGAAATTTTAAAAAGTATAAAAAACAGTAACTTAAAAAAGAATTCATTCATCATTGGGATGCGATTGTGTATTATTATAAATCATGACGTCAATTATATGAAATTTTTTGATTATTTATTTCGTGTTTTTGTCACTTATGAAACTTTTCCTTATGAATATTGTCTTATTATTTTCTGTGTTTCTCGCTTAATGTCAATATTTTTGTCTTTTTTTTAACACTTATTGTGTGAATCAGTGTATAAAATATTTTACAATAATTGTTTTAAATTAACAACGACAATCAGTATATAAAATTTTTTAATCATTAGTAACAATGCAAATAAATAAATTTATCGCAATTAAAAAAATTTTTTTTATCAGATATGAATAGTATCGGGCATATAAAAAAATTATTCTTTTCCGCCACAGGAAAGTTATAATTTTCTTTCTTTTTTTTTTTTTTTTTTTTTTTTAATTTGGATTTTCAACCAAACTGAATAATGCTTTCGCTTTCGGCCACATGATTAAGAGCTTACTATAATGCATGAAAAACCTTAATTTTTATATTACGTCAAAATTTAGCCGCCGTTACCGTCATTTTCAAAAGCAATTTTTGCAACTTGCAAAGTAACTTTTTGATAAGTTATAATAATAATTTTTTTTTGGGGGGGGGGGATTTTTCACTTTTGGAGCCTCAATTCCAATAGGCCCCCGAACCCCCAAGCGCTGTAAATCTGACTAGTGTAAGTAAAAGAACATAACAGAAATATGTTACTGTAATAATCAGTTTCGTTTTTACAACAATAATTAGATTTCGAGTTACGAAACTACGTCAATGAGCCGTAGTAATAGCAATAGGAGTATGTCATGTCATCATGACCAAGATTTATCTAACACCTTCCTTTCTCTTTCAAAATCTCAACTTTACTTGCGAAACTCTTAGGTAGTTTGATGATTATAAAATTTCAACGTTCCTCAATTCGATAAATATCAGATCTCGATGTCGCTATCGCCCAACTTTATCGACAGCATATAACACTGTCTCTTAGTTAAATACAGTATATTTTCTTATACTGTGCCTAATATATGAACTGGTGTGATCTCTGACAGCATATAGTGTTTGCATGAAAATACACTACCCTACAATAATGGAAGAATCAGTTACAGTTTTTGACATTTTTTGAAATTTCTCAAGAAATACTTAGAGTATTATTTTGCAACTTTGGAGGTGTTTAGTTCATGCAAATTTTCATACTTTGTAATAAGATTTAAAGCTTTCAGAGGTGTGGGAGACCTGCAATAAATTACGAAGAAAAATAAGTATTTTTGAATACCTTATGCAAGAAAAAAAAATCAAACAATAAGCTTGTAACATGTATCGATTAAGTTGTTATTTACATTAAAGAAAATTAGCTATGGGGGTTCCAAATATTGCGTTATCACCTACTGAAGGCGGGTTTAGTTGTTTATTTTTGTTGACAAGGAGAGAGGAGGGATACCAGCAATGCTTCAAAAGTCATGGTGGCTCAGAGAATAGAGTGTTCGCCTTTTAATACGGTGAACTGTGTTTTGAATGCCAGCGATGGCTGGTCGGTATGAATTCCGCACCCGGCTCGCACCGACCACAGTGGTAACGTAAAATATCCTCAGTGGTAGAAAGATTATGTATTAGTCTCTTTGCCCTCAGGCTAACCATAAGCAGTTTTCGCGGTTTTTGTCTCCATGTTACGCAAAATGCGAGTTTTTTCCATCAAAAATATCTCCACGTAAGCAAATTTTTCCTAATACTTGTGTTAGGAGAAATCCAGGTGCTCCCTTGTTTTTCGGTTGGGTTCAAAATTATCAGGCAATGGAGTTGAACATTGGCAGTCGTAAACTCAAAATTGGGTCGGCTGTTAAACGACGCATATGAAGTAAAATAAAATTGCTGCACATTGTTGAAACAAAGGGCATAAATTCAATTTCAACAATCCAACTTTTTTTCCATCCTTGTTATATAACCTCATCTTGACGCCCTGGAATCTTGTCTTTTTTTTAAGTGAATGCTGATTCTCTTGTTAACAATATCAGTTCTTCACCACCTCTCCATGGCACGTGGAAATACATTATACCCTGAGCTACCCCTTCCGGCCACTGTGGTTTTCATGTGGTTACATACATAATTAGTAGACTGAAATACATATTCATAAAATGACTAAAATGCTTTTTTATCTTGAATTTTGGCAATTCTAGTGAGAAAAAGAAATTTTTTGTAAATTTGATATGTGCTAAAGTTGAGCTAAAAGTTATTATGAATAACAAAAGTTATGTATTCCTCGTAAATTGCGTTTTTTTTTAAAAAACTTTTATGGATATGTGTAACTTGGAGGGGGGGAAACATATTTTATATTTTTTATGATAAAAATACTTGCAAAATTTCTGAAATTTTTTTTTTTTTTTTTAATGGCAAAACTGATTTTTTTAACTTTTATTAGTTCTATCAATTTTGATTTCCGATGCTAATTTATATTTTTGCGAGACGTTAGAATTGGACGTCTAAGCTTTTTTTACAACTCTTTGGTGGAAGACAAAAAGTTCGTCAACTATTGCCGCTATTATTCGTGGCAATTGTTGTTCTCTTCTGATTTTTTTTTTTTTTTTTTNTACTCGGCTAGTTTGTTTAAGTATTTTCCAAATATATAAATTTAAAAAATATTTATAGAAGAAAAATGTTAGGCAAAATTTTCGTGCAATTAAAAGATTTCCTACTTTTAAAATGCTACAAAAATGCAGTTGCTTTGCACTTATTTGTTTATAAAAGTTTAAAATCACTTAATCAAATAAATGAAAATAAATGCAGTTGCTTTACACTTGTTTGTTTTACACTTATTTGTTTATAAAAGTTTAAAATTACTTAATCAAATAAATGAAAATAAAAAATAAAAATAAATAAATGAAAACAGCCAAAATGGAATTGTTTTTTATGATCTCTTCAATAGAATGGGCTAAAAATGAAATAATAATAAAAAAATAGAGAAGGGGAGCACAAAAATGCTAGACACTGAAGCTAATGCCTTTTAGTAAAATAATTTTACTAATAAAGGATCAAAAATCACAGCAAAAAGTAATGTTACCTAAGATTTATTTCATATAACTAATATAAATAGCATAGTAAATCATTTATAGTAAAAAACATTGCATTAATTTTTCATTCTTGCAGGAAAGTAACTTTTTTAAATCGTTTCAATTTTTTTTGAATTGAACCTTTAAAATTAAACAGGCTCAGGCCTTCTAAAATCTTAAAATCGGCCTGTGAATTACTTAGTAATATTTAGGAGTAATACTATTAATTATTTAATTAATAATGTAGTTTCTTGTTTGTACACCAGCTTAGTTCTATGTATTGTTTGAAAGTATCACCAAGATTGTATGATTAAGAGTATCACTTTCAATCAATATGATACAAATAAAAAATCGAGTTGAACAAACTTTAAACAGAAATTGAATAATGATATTTTTTGCCTTTATCATAAATAACATTAGAATAAAAAAAAATTATAATTAGAATGAAAAATGTGAAAATTAAATTCCAAAGAAACTGTAAAAATCATACAAATATTACGGTACAAATAAAAGAAAACGAATAAAAAAACCAATAAATATCGATAGTACATATTGTTTTTAGTCCCTCCTCTCATTTCAAATAATACTCTAATTCTTAAATAACACAATTACAGCGGATTGTACATGTTAAATTCTTTATCAATGCTTATATTTAAGTATTTTATAAAAAATATAAAAAGTATTATATTAAGTATTTTATTAAAAAACATTAAGTATTTTTTATATATAAGTATTTTATAAAATATACTTACATTTTTCTTTGGCGCCGTAGATCTCTGCAAAGATGGATTCAATGGCCATTTTCGCTCTCCAGCTTCTATCCGAAACCTCTTTTTAGCTGCCGAAGTTTGGCAAATAATGGATACCAGGAAAGTCACAAACACAATAAAATGTAGATTACAAATCATGTTAATAGTTCTAAGCAAAAAAAGCGCAGTTCGGGGCAAAAAGAACAACACAAATCGCCAATTAAACAACCACAAAACACCAAATAATCCCAGAATCAATTTGAAATCAATCCACTAGACATAATTACTCGATAAACAAATGTTCCATTTCCGATTAATCAACAATGACGCAACATACAAAGACTTCTTTGATTATCCTACGTTCCTAATTGACTACCACCGACGAACCGCGCGAACTGAAGACCTCAGAACTGAAAATGGCAAAACCGACTGCCTTCCACAGGAAATTCTTAAAAATCTTTTCCTAAAGGTGATTCGTTTCTGAAAATAAAGGCAAAGAGTGGGCAAGTAAACTGGACAAAAGCTCCAAGTGATATTTTCCGTCTGACCCCACCCCCTTACCTGTAAATCACGTGCAAATTTTGCTTCAGGTATTTTAGGGGGGCAGCTTTTAGAACACGTGTGTATTGTCACAGCCTTTTTTTCTATAGAAAAGACACTCAGGTGCCAGTGTAGGATGGATGGTGCAAATCTCTTGCTTGGAGGTAAGGAAGACACGCTTTGATCTTTTCCTCTTGCAAAAAGTGGACAATATAAGTCAAAGCTCAGAAATTGAAAGCCAGTTTCCATAGAAGTTAATGGCAAATTTTCTTTTCTTTTTTTTTCTTTCTAAAAGGGAATAAACGTTACCGATTTGTGGCTATAATAGTTGGCTGATTGTCTGGTTTTGTTGCCTAACATTTCGAGTTCCTAAATCTGTAAAGAGAAAAGAGACTCTTCGTGTGGTAGACATTTTAAATAATAAGAAATAAAAGAAATAATTTCCAACAAAATTTTTAAACATTATTCAACATAGTGTACATAAACTCTAGAAATCTAGAAATAATTATAAACAAATTATTGGAAAATGACGATTTGATTCAAATAAGATTAAAATCTGGATTATGTTGCACGAAAATAATGAAAAAGTTCCATTTTATCTAAAAAATGGAACGAAAATAGCAGGGGATTCAATAACAAGGACATATAAGAGCCGGGCGCTATAGCAAAAAGATTTAATCACTTAAAATAATAGTACATCATAATACTACTTACAATTAGGAGATGTTACGAAAGTAAACCTTTTATCAATTTAACATAAATTTATGCGTGCATATCTTCGTATTTTACTGTAAAAAGTGTTTTAACAACAGAAATTGTAATACATTTAGATTTAAAATAGGTGGACATTTTCTTTTAATAGCCCTCAACTTGGTTTAAAAGAAAACAGTAGCATTTTTTCCCCAGAATTTCATTAAGTAATTTGCAAAGAATAAATGGTATTCGACAAAGTGTTTTAAGTGAATTGAAAAATATTTCTGCACAGTTATTACTCTGAGATAATTCCATGCAAAATATAACTTTTAGTAAATATTTATTATTTTGTTTTATAACAGTCAAAATATTTTAAATTCTAATGTATACAATTTTTTACATCATTTTAAAGAATGTAATTGTATATAACAAAATACGAAATTTGAGCGAAATCAGTCGAATAGTTATTGAGAAATTGAATTTTAAGAACATGACTTTTTCAAAATTGGAAAAAGATAATTTAATTTAACAAAGAACCTCGAGGGCTGAAAATTTGTATTTTTTTCCCCTACAGAATATAAAAATTTTTCAAAAGGATTTTACTAATTATCGGAGTCGATAACTAGTAAAGTAACATACAGGTGAAATAGCCAAAGCACTTAACTACTGGGACAAAAAAAAAAAAAAAAAAAAAAAAAAAAAAAAAAAAAAAAAAAAAAAAAAAAGAAGAGCACTATTTATAATTTGGAACATTGAGAACAACCTCCTATTAATTATAAATATAACTTGAAATCTTCAAAGTGCAGAAAGAAGAAAATTTTTCAATAAAAAAAAAATTATATCATATCTAATTATAAATTAAGTGGATGTTTTCTTCTAACATACAGGGTAAGAAAATACGAAAAACATTGTTTACAATCTGGGGCATTGCGACATCAAACTCTTATTAATTATTGAATTAGCTTTAATCCTTTAATGTTCGACTTCGTATTTTATAGAAAAAAGTACTCAAGTTAAAAATTAAAAAAATGGTCACACATTTGAGTTTAAATTAAGTGAATATCTTCTTCTAACATTCAGGTTAAGAAAATATCAAGCAGCCTTTCAAAAATTACGTCAGCCTATTTTTGGCAATATTGAAGTTTCCCTTCCCTCTTGTCAGAAAAAACAACAAAATCAAAAACCCTTCATGATTACGTAAAAAAAAATTGCTATGCCTTCCTTTTTTTTTACTTGAGCTTTAAATTTTATTGTAGCAATCAAATTTAAAGATTAAATTCAAGCCAGGATTTTTACTTTAAACGTAACAAAATTAACGTTTTTGTTCATTTTATAAAATTTTAAGTGGAATACTTTCTTAGGAATCTTTTCTTCTAACCCAAAACACTCGACCTCTGATTCTTATTTAATCTTTTCAACTCATTACTCCGAATTTAATTAAAAATTTTCTAATTGTGATTCTTTATTGCATTTTTTCAATTAAAAAAAAATTGAAAATTAAGGAATTTTAATACCCCTTTCGTAAGCGTTACTTACATTCCTCCTCCCTTCTTGTCAACAGCAAAAATAAAAAAAGCATAAACCCCATCCTCCCGATAAGTGCTTACGGAATAATTGAAGTGTCCCTAAGGACACTGGTTACAATTTAGGGCAATGCGAACATGAATCTCTTATTAATTATTAATTTAACTGAAACCCTTTACTATGTCCTATTTTGCAAACGAAAAGTGCTCCAATAATGAAAAAAAGGAATCTATTAAAGTTTTAATTGGGTAGATATTTTCTTCTAATGTCTACCAATTTAATTTAAGTGATAAGACCATTGCAAAATTCTCTGTTTTATTTTTGAATGATTTCTACAAGCGTATTAATCAAAACTCATATAAAATCAAGAAGTAGCTCTTGTTACTTATTGAAATTCTATATGATTTAAGACATCCACCTCAAAACTCCAGATTCACATTGCCTGGGCATAATTTCGTGTTCCCTCAAAATGCTACGAAGAGACCTTGAAATAGGATGGATGTAGACTCCAGAATGTCCGGTGGGCGCAGTGCAGTTCTACTTACTTTTCTAAGTTTTCAACCCATTTATCAAAAAACATAATAGCCTGTAAGATCTGAAGTCTAATATATCTTTGCCGCCCAAAAAGCATTGTTATGAGACTTTATCGTTGCCCAGCGCACCATATATTTTCTTTTTGCATGGTAGTGTCTCAAGTACTTATGTCATGTAGCTTATTCCCAATTACCTAAACGAAATAAGGAACACCTCATAAAAAATAATTATATAACTAAAGAGGAACTGAAGCAGATGTTTTCTTCTTCTTTTTTTGAAATTTCTTTTTCGTAAACAGATATGCGGTTGGTGCAGACAGCAGGTTTCTCTTATGGTAATGACGAAGCTAGGATTTGATTTGTCATCAGTTTGTAAGGCTTTATTGAAATTTAGTCGGATTATTATAATTTTATAAATTAAGCTAATACTGTGTATCGGAGAGAAAAAAAGTTATGAAAGATTAGGTGCACATCACATTTAGGTTATATTAGGTTAGGTTAGATTAGGTTATATCACATTTTCAAATTGTTCACGAGATATTTTTGTTTACCACCACAATTTCCTGGCGGGTAATAAGATTATTTTAATTTTGTGCTTTTATCTGGCTGAAATTCTGGAAAATTTAAAGTGCTTATTTAAAAATAATACTAAGGAACAGTTTGATGCAAGAATGTTAAATTTAGAAAACGTTTAATACGCTCAACTGACTAGTCTATAGTGTAAAAAAATCTATTTTCAAAAAAAGTTTTCTGATGTGTTTCGTCATAATCATTTTAAATACTAATAACATAATTTTAAATTGATTTAAAAAAGGGACCATATTTTTCATATTGCAACCTTTTTTTTACCAAATTGAAATGAAATTGGAAAATTGAAAATTAGTATGTCATGATATGTAATTACGGCGCAGCTATATAAAGTTTCCTATCTCTTAATGATGATGGTTAGAGCCTCTTGCTTGTCCTTGGTTCAAATCCCACCGGTAGTCAACGAACTTTTTCATATATTTCTCCGACCAAACAACTTTTGAGACTATGTATTTTGCTAAAAACTGATTATATGCTTTCGTAAATTTAAATACATGTGGTTTTCAAATCATTCTTTAACTTTCTTTCTCAGAATCATGTTTCTGTATAAAAAATGACACGTCAACAATTTTCTGGTGGAGAGGACACAAATTGTAGCGAATGGATTATTTATAATAATCAGTGAAGTTAAAATTACCACGAAATAACTTTCAAACCAAACAGTATTTTGATATATTTTATTGTTAGTATTTTAAGCAATAAAACTTTAAATTGAAGATTAAATTACGTTTTCTCCTTAATTTAAAAACAAACTCATAATAATATATTTTGATTTTGTTTAAGAAAAATGTCTAAAATTCATTATTTTAGAACTTAATGAAGTATTTAAATTTTGGTTCAGTTTCTTCGTTATTCCAGGTCATTTTATAAAGAAGTTTGAATATATCTTTAAGTTAATTTATTTGTATAATTTATGTGTTACCTTCGTTGTATAACAATTCAAAGGGATTTTATCAAAATATAATTATTATCGAAATTTTTATTTTTAACTTATTAAATATAACTCTCTGAGTTTGTTTCTAAATAAATTTTATTTAGTATTAGCTGAACTAAAAAACTTAGACGATAGACTGCAGAATCGAGAAAGATTGCATTCATAAACGACATTCTCGTTTCTTATGACATATAGCAGAAATAATGCTTTATTAAATGTAAAATGTAAACTTCAAAGTAATATGGTAAATTGACTTTTATACAAAAAGTAAAAAACATTTCCACCGTAAATACGTTGCTCTGTAGGATAATTTATAATTATTAAAACCTATGATTACAGAACAGCATCGGAGCAAAATTTGGTACTTTTCGGTTAGCTGGAAAGAAGAAAATTCAACAATTTTCTTATTTTATTTTTAAATTTTTTTTAATTTATTACTTTTTTATTCTATTTAGTTTTTATGCATTTTAAAAATAAATAAAATAAAAAAATAGCTAGTAAAGGTCTGCTTTTTTTTCCCCGTGATTTTTCGCTTGAAGAACAACAGAACTAACAGAAAGATACCCTAAATTTTTAAGACTCTAACAATATGGGACAAATTTTTGCTTTTATTTTTCATTATTCATTATTATTTTTCTTTATTTATTGCTTTTCTTTTTAAAGGAAAGGAAGCGATTGAAAGTTTTCGCCTTGCAAAGTTGTTAGGTATCCAAAATAAATAAATAAAT